CCAATTCTCCTCGAGCCTTCTTCTCCCAGCAAATGCGCTGGGCCCGTGGATCTACCACGCTGTTGACCAACGGTCACTTCTGGGTCTCAAACCTCACCCTCATGCAGAAGATCTGCTACCTCTCTGGTAAGTGTCATTCTCGCAATCGCCCAGCATTCATAGCTAACATTCCAGGTTTCCTCTACTACTCTGCTGTCTCGCTCAACATCTTCCTGGCCCCGATCGCAGGTACTCTTCTGCTTGCCATCCGTCCCGAATGGTTCAAGTTCTGGAACCTTGCTTTTGCCATTCCCTCGATTCTCTATGGCGTCATCCTCATGCGCGTATGGGCGAAGGCTAAGTACGGCTTCAACGTACAGCATGTGGTGACAATCCAGAGCTATGCCTACCTCACCGCCATCAAGGATCGCCTCTTCAACATTGAACTTCTCTGGGCAGCTTCTGGTGACGCAAAGGCCCACAAGAGCAACAAGTATCGCAACATGCGAATTCTGTGCATCCTCTGGACTCTTGTCGTTACTGGTGCTATGGTTGGTGTCGTCACCTGGCGCCTTCTCAATGGCTTCACGTGGTACCACCCGCTGCCGCTCATAATCATCAACGTCTATAACTTCTTCATCAACCATTACTTTATGTTTTGCAACTGGTAGCGAAACTCATCGATACCCAATAATTTTGTACGTAAAGAGGGAGAGGAGGATGCGGGAGGTGTTTGTGGATCAAGCCTTGCATCATACATGGATAATGGAGTCAAGACATTTGAATTAGATGAGAGGTTGGCATACCAAGTGTTCACCTCATGGAAACGGCCGACATCATCGTAAAATCGCGAGTGCAAAGCTTGGCACCGCGCGTACACACTCACACAGCTTCTGCAGCATACATACATTCGAGAGTTTTGTATATCTGATGGATAGAGCGAGCGCGAAGTACAGTTCATGCGCCGCCGCAGTAGTAATAATAGTCAAAGTTCCTCTGTCAACTTGCTGAAAGAACTTGTTGAGATCCACGGACGGCAGTATTACCTGATGCACTTATCTGTCCGAATGACAACGGACACGAGGCACGTGGGAGACATCGGACCACCTGGCAGATGGCTGGGATTTTATGGTGGGAGCTGGCCACAGACAAATAATCAAACTGAAGAAGCTTCACATCGGTGTGCGACACATTTGTCACCCAAATCAATAGTACGGTTTATGCGATCAAATGTTTATAAGAAAATTTCTCTCTCTTTTTTCTAAGCTAAAGATTCTATCTAGATCCCGTCCATGGTGTCGAGGTGGTGTCGGTGGTGGATGTTGTCGAAGGTGGTGTTGGTGGTGTTAGAGGTCGGAGGTGTCGAAGGTGGGCGCGACAACCAGTTGCCTGAGTCTACCTGTAGAGGAAGGATAGAGTCGAAGGCGAAGCCCGAGTCATAGCTGTAGAGGAAGCCAGAGTTCAAAGGCTGTGAAGGGAGGGTGCTGGTTGTCGAAGTCGAAGTCGGAGTCGAAGTCGGAAGTGTCGTGGTCGAAGTCCTGGAAACCCGAGTCTACCTGTAGAGGAAGATAGAGTCGAGGGCTTGTTGCCCAAGTCGTGCCTGTAGAGGAAGGCAGAGTTCGAGGGCCCATCAGCGATATTGGCTCCGGAGAGCTAGCGCTGGCATGGCCTGAGTCGTGGCTGTAGAGGAAGCCAGAGTTCAAAGGCCGAGGAGGAGCCGAGGCTGAGAAGAGAAGCCAAGGCTGGAGGCAACCGCTGCTGGAACTCGCGGGTCTTTGTGGACGCCCGCCCCAGTTCAGGGTCGTTTTCTTTGGTGGAGGCTCGCGTATGCGGAAGCACTTAGCGGATGATGAGGAGGAAGGAATGGAGAGAGGAGTGGAGGGAGGGAGATTGGGATTATATAGAGGTTGAGGGAATGGGAGCTGCCTCGATTCCACTGATGGGGGTGATTGACCTCGATAGCAATTTCGGTGAGGGTTTGGGGGTGAAATCGGCATAAAGTTCGTGATTCCCTAGGTTGTCGTGGTTGGGTCAACCTTTTCGTCCGACATGGACCGTTTCCGGTGTCTATGATGCGGAGTGTTGTGGAGAATGCGAGGACTGGACGGTTGGGAATGCCTTCATTGGGAACGATGACAAACCACCAAGGTTGCGATTTTATCGTGTTTCCTAGATGAAGAAACCTCTTCATCCGACACAGGCTTCCTGATGCCTGCGATGCAGAATGCTGTGGAGAATGCGACAACCGGGTTTCCGGGATGCTCACCGACGACGAGGAGCTGCCTGAAAAGGGAAGATGGAGTCGACGCCGCGCCCGACTCTGCCTGTAGAGGAAGACAGAGTCAAGGGCGGGTGCTCCTGTCCATCATAAAAGAGTGGTGATCCAGTCAGAGCTAGCGGAGTCGACCTGTAGAGGAAGATGGAGTCGACGCCGGGTGCCTCTGGCCCACTTGTAGAAGGATAGGCGAGCCAGAGACTGGAGGAGTCTGTCTGTAGAGGAAGATTTCTTAAACACTCCTCGGGGGGACCTGTTTGGCTTGGAGTTCGGAAGAGCTGGTTGATCTTCGGTGAGGGCCGGTGGATGTGTCGTGAATCTACGTTTCATCACTACCTTCATGTCCGGTATTTGCGACGTTACCACACGAATGCCAGAGCTAGACTGGCATTAATTCTTAATTGAAGTTTATTTGCTCTATCTTTCCGGCCCGGGAGACGTTCGGTGAACACAGATTGGATTTTATTAAAGGTATTATTCACATGCGAGTGAAACTCAAGAGACGAAGTTGGCCAAATCCGGGTTTTAATCTTCAATCTATCTACAAAATTGTAGGCTGAAGGTCTTTCATATATGTGCACAGCGCAGAAGAGGTGAGATCACGGAAATACAAGACCCGTTCTGTTGCTGGCTTTACTGAAAGTCTGTCGCTCTACAACGACGAGGTCGGAGTTGCCAGAGCCCCCATAGTAACAGTTGAACACGGGGCGCCATACACATCCGGCTTCACAAAGCTTGGTTGCGGATTGTTGCCTTGAGCCAAGAGAACCAGAGAGTCTGTCTCTGGGTTAAACTTGGGCCAACCAATCACCTCACTTAACCCATTTCGGGGTTCATTCGCGAATGTAGCCCAGGCTCGCTGCATACCCTTGGTAGTCTCTCTTTGTGCATCTGAAGGAGGGATACCGCTGACATCTCCGGACGCGCCAAAGATCATGTGCAGATCGACGCCGTGGTAGGCACCGCTCGTGGGGAAGAGGCGGGTGTTGTCCCAGTCGCCGAAGTAGCGGTAGATCCAGGCCGGCACGCCCTGAGCGAGTCGTGCGTTGGCTTGGTAGAGGTTGGGGCAGGTGAAGGACTCCAGGAGGAAGGATGTGACTTGCTCGGGAGTTGGCACCACGCCGTTGCCGTAGGCTGGGATTCTGTAGTATCCGTCTTCATTGTTGTTGTTTCCGAAAAGAATGGGCTGTGTTCTTGTTTGAGTAACAGTTTGACAGGGACTGAGAGTGTTAAACACTGACCAACTTGGCAAAGCTTCCGTTCTTTGTCAAGGAAACATAGTCTGGAAAGACAATCTCATTGTCGACAATGGGGTAGAACGGGGGAATCGAGCGGAGGACACTGCTGCTGGAAGTCGGCTTGACAGCCGCAGCGGCCGCCTTGATATCCTCCCAGTCTTTCCCGCGCATGCATGCCAGGATGTCCTCAGAGTCAGTACAATTGACAGCCCCAACAACAGTGTTCCAGTTTCGCTCAGGCACACCAGGGCTGTTCAACGGGAAACTGAAAGCGTTCCCCGACGGCGCGATCAGCCCGTTCACAATGGGGTCTTTGGTGTAAGTATATGACCAGTAGTCCACGCTAACGCCGCCGGATGATTGTCCGGCAATGGCGATCTTGCTCGGGTCGCCACCGAAGCTGGCGATGTTGGCATGCACCCATTCCACGGCGGCACGTTGGTCTCTCAGTCCTAGATTCTGCGGCTGTCCAGGAATTCCAGGGAAACCGAAAATATTGATGCGGTAGTTGACCGTCACTACAACCACGTCTTGAGCATCTGCAAAATATTTGCCGTTGTAGAATGGGCTGTTGGTGTTGCCGATGGCAAACCCTGCGGAATTTTGTCAGCATCTGGGTGGAGGTCCGCTACGGGCTACCCACGTCCACCGTAGAAGAAGACAATCACAGGCTTGTTGGCAGGCTGCAACTTGTTTGCCGGTTTGGCCCAGATGTTGAGGGTGAGGCAATTCTCGCTTTGAGGAGTCCCGGCGCCGGAAGCGAAGTAGCTGATGATGCGCTGGGCTTGCGGAGTCATGTCGGGAAAGTTCACTTGTTTGGATGGCGACAGCGGGCAGTCGAATCCGAACTTTGATGCCTCGTATGATGCATTGCTAGTGAATGGCACCGGCGGAGCGAATCGAAGGTCGCCGACGGGAGGTTTCGCGTACGGGATTCCGAGATACTCAATCACGGCTGAGGCGTTGGACGCGAGATGTCCGGTGATGGGGCCATTCGTCGTGTTCACCGTTAGCCGGTCTGCCCTATGGTGGTTTTGCGACGCGGCGACGAGGCTCGCAAAGGCTGCAAGACCAACCTCGAGCCAAAAGAGACGCATCTTCGGCTTTGAAAGCGATGTTGAGGTGAAGTTGAAGTTGCTCGAAACCGTGGAGCTTGGTGTTCTCTTGTGCGACCGCCACACCGTTGTATCGGGCTTACTGAACCCGCTTTTGCCCCCAAATCCTTCTGAATGTCGCTGTTCGTCGAGCTAAAGCAACTCCCATGCTCGCTTCTGCGCCGCTAATCACCGGACGGGAAACAGCGCCGCAGCTAGCTCGATCGAGCGGTTCGTACGGGGGGACAGCGCCCCCACGTCAGCAATAATGATTTGTTCGACCCCTGTGCAAAATAGATTCTGGCCATTTGCAGGGATCGGACTATCATATTCCTGAGAAGTCTGAGAAAGTGGAAATGAATTCGCAACTATCACTATTCAAGCCATGGGACTGCATATCTGCTATGAACACCCTTATTCATCGAAGTCTTGTCGATCTAATGCCACCCCACGTCCAAATGAACGAACATCGATGGTCGAGGCCTCCGAGCTTGATAGCTCAAGCTGCAAAACAACCGACCTACCCGTGGTAAACAGTAGGACCTTCCATTTGTCTCCATGTAAGATCTTCAGAAGATCCGAAAGATAGCTGTCGGTCCCTCGATCGGTGAGCCAATGAAGACCATCAATGATGCAAAGCACCGGACCTGGCATAAGCTCGCCGAGATCAGCCAGAATTGAGGTGGCCTGGCTCCAAGTCCCCAGACACCCGTCAAGAGCCTTGAACCGTCCCTCTGAAATGTCAACACTAGTCTCTAGCGATGGAAGAAGGAGCTCGATCAGCTGCCTGATGAGTGCATAAACAAGAGACAGCATCGCTTGTGCTTCCATTGTGTCATTTCCATCCCTGAGCTTCTCGCCTCGCCGGAGCTCGCAAAAGTATGAGATGACCGGCAACTTTGTTTTCTCGGCAAGAGCTATGACCGTAGCTGCCATCATTGTGACTGGGTTTTCGAAGTCGTCGCCTTCGAGAGGAGGACCTTCAAGCCACAATAGGTTTGGAGCGGCTGTGCTAGCCCAATCACTGATTTCCCTGAACGACTCTGGAGGAACCATTAACAAATCAAATGCGTCGCACGAAAGTCGAACTCTATCTCGATGGAAGAAGTCTTCGAGGTGACGAGAGCTGATGGCAATAGCTTCAGAGGTATACTCCGATACTGCGAGAGCATAATTAGCAGAGGGACCTAGAGGTAGACTAAGAAAAGGGAAAATACCCTGTGCAGACCCATCTAGTAACACAAGAGAACTTGTAGGCAACTGCTGATGGCTCGTTCGGTTCCCGGCTCGGTTACATTCCAACCAACGGAAGGCCCTCTCTTCCAGCAGGTTGACAATATTGTCAGCCAGCTGTTGTTGCTTCTCAAAAGTCCACAATTCAGATGTTCGACTTTGCTCTCTCAGAATGCTCTCAGCGTAATGTTTCATCTCTGCCTGGTGTCGCTTGTCGCCCTCAAGACCCGCCCGCACATCCCTTGCGATACTTTCTGCTGTCAATCTCGTAGACCTTAGTTCCGCTCGGTTCTTTTGTGATGCTAGGTTTCGGATCCGATCCGATATGTCCTTAATCTTGCCCATCTCATTATCAAAAACGCTAGGTAGATCCTCATTGAACGAGTCGAGAAGTCGCTTGATTCTTTTCTTCATCATCCAGTCCATGATGCTAGTCAACAGAAGAAAAATGTGCGCGTAAAGATTCGCAATAAGAGTTTGCATATCTTCCATGTTAAATAGCTGCAGATCCGGTTTGCAGTTATTGACATACTGGCTCACAATGCATAAAGATTCCGAGAGGCCTTCGGCAATCTTTTCGTGGTTTGTACTCGCCTGAATGTCGTGTGGGTAAGCTGTACATTTATGAGCTCTCTAGGATTGGCATTACCTGTATCACTGCATTCAGGGTGCCGCTGAAGATAGAAACATACTCGCTCCCGGATGGCAATATGTCCAGGAATGCCTGATGGGAGTGAAGAGTCTTGCAGAACTGGTGAAATAGCCGCTTTGCTTTGGCAAACCGGCTGTTATTGCGTTTCAACTGCCACGCCTGCGTTGTTTTCTCAACTGTCTCGATGACACCATTCATTGTAGGCTCGGACATTCTGATGTCCAATCGGTCCATCGGTGTGCTGAACTCGATGAATGCCTTCCATTTCTCTCGCAAATGGTTCGTTTCTACAGTGAGAACTTGAGTTATTGGATCCATGTCACTGTCAATGCCGATATGTCAGCGCCATGGAAATAGACGCGGTGTATGTAGCGTTCTAATTAAGACTTACCTTGGATCTGTACTATGATGAAAGCATTCGAAAAAGTTTCGCCATGGATCCCGCGCATCTTCTTTGCTTCCTTGGTGTTTGGCAAGCATCTGGGCGAGACGGCGGGCATCACTCTCTGGGAGTAAGCGTTCCTCGGCCTCAAAACTGTATGCGCGAACAAGATGTCGCGGGTCACACATATCGCTCTTACATGTAATTCAAAGATAATTTATGATATTCCTCGTATTTGAACAGGCGAGAAGGACACAGCGACGAGCGGCGCATCAGGCTAGAGAGGAAATTCAGGGCAGCGGGGGATGATAACGTCTGCGCGCGTAACATCCTTGAACATGCACAAGAAGAGGCGTTCCAATTGATTGGATGTCGTTTTGCCAGCAATTACGCCCGTCTGACATGCTGCAAATATTGCAGATTCTAGTCAGCCCTCGATTCGGCCTTGGAATATGCAGGCTTTCCAATACAATTACAGCTAAGTACTCAGAACGAGGCCACACAACAGGCCCGAATAAGCGTGCCCAGCTGACTACCCCGCTCCTTCTCAAGGAAAACAAATAGACCTGATTTTTCCTCTGCACAAAGGACACTAAAAGTTGCTACCTTTGGAGAGCCGTCACCACATGTCCGCGTGAGGCACTACTGTGCTTCAATCTCGTTCTGCTAGGATGTCGACCGCAGGCAGCACTACCGACACTGCGAAGGAGGCAATGGAGGTTAAAACTCCTCAGTCAGCCATTGGCTTCAAGGAAGAAACAACAGTTCATAATGCTTCCACGCAAAAGAAGGAGATCAATGACAAGCCCGACAATGTGGACGGCGTTGTTCAAGATTCCACGGCAAAGATGGAAGCGCCTTTGAAACCGAGAATCGGTTATCGCGTGGAATACCGTAATCGCTGGACGAATCAACTTATCGCAGAGGAAGTCCAAGAAGAAGGCAAACGCACCGAAATTCATCAATCTGATGGACCTATTTTTGAAGTTGTGACTTCGTTCAAAGTCGTTACCGAAACGATGGAAGCAAAAACAGACTTCGCCATCAACTCTCAGTCACTTGCCAGCTATGCGATTCGAATCCACTCAATAGCGCTCATCAACGCCATTCAGTCAGTCGTTCGATATTATCCTGGCCAAGACCTGTCTGGTGAATACCTCACCATCCAAAAACCATACCCTATCCTGGTCCATCACTACGAACAGCTACAAGAGTTTCGTAGCAAATGTCTATCAATGCCAGCGGATGAACTCTGCTTACGGGAAAAAGATGCCGCTGAACATCTGAGCGTTCTTTTTGAATACTTGGAGAATGAAGTCATGGAGGATGTCCGAGAAGAGCAAGAACGAAACAAAAGGGGCTGCTGTCTATTTGATTGGATGTGGGTACGCTTCAAGCCTGGACGTATCATGCTCGAAAAGTTTGACTGGGAGTCTGGCTGGCAAGCCTCCGTGATACACTCTGTGCGAGGTGGAGTGCTTGCAAATCCATCAACGTGGTGGAGAGTCGAGAATTGGAAGCTCGAATTTGATGGAAATGATATAGTACGAGTTATGAATGGGGCTACGCATTTTCAACAACACGACGGTGAGAGAAATTACGAAAGACGTCCAGGTGGAGGGGGGACTATCGTGCTGGAAGGCGACGATTGCTTCGACAATGAGGAGGCTCGAGAGCTCATTGCGAACGGGAAGAGGTACATGAATATGCTGGAGCCTAAGTGTTTCCAGCACAATGGGAGAAGCGTCAACTTTCCGCCAATTGAGGTCAGTTAATCATTTGCATCATCGTGTGAATTCAGGCAACATAGCCTAAAACTAATCATACCCGCATAGATCGATGGCTTGGCTATGGTAGACATGAAAACGTATCATCAAATAAGGCCTGACAGAGTCCCGGAGGAGATGAGTGAGGATGACATCAGAGACTGGGCCAGTGGATGCTCTTGTGTGGTGTGTCATTACAGACAGAGAGATGAAAGCCTCCCAAAAACCAAGCAGCCGGAATTTCTGGACTATGGCGGCGCACCCCAAAGCACTGGCTGGAGAGACAAGGAGATCATGCTTCTTCCTTCAAAGGTCGCATCTTACGTGTTCAGAACTCGTACTTGGGGTGAGTGAAGTCCGTCCATTCCAATATGACGTGCTAATGTAATTCAGAGGATATTTACATTCGCAATCTGTCGGAGCCTCGGTTTGAGGAGAATATGATTAAACATCTGATCATGAGTGACAGTCGTTTGATGACTCTCAAAGCTCTCGCGAAGAGCTTTGCGAGAACTACTCAACATGGAGAAGCTATGAAGGAGGATCGATGGAGCGCAGACTTTGTTCGTGGAAAAGGAAATGGGTTGATCCTTCTTTTGCATGGCAAGCCAGGTGTTGGAAAAACCTGCACGGCGGGTATGTCAAATCTGGTCCTTTCCCACTAATTAAAGTCTGACAAGGCATGCCACGATTAGAATGTATTGCTGAGTTCACTCGTCGTCCTCTAATGATTTTGACGAGCAGCGACATTGGTACTGAACCTCGGGACGTCGAGGCAAATTTGACCGAAAACTTCAAAAGAGCTATGAGCTGGGGTGCTGTTCTTCTTATTGACGAGGCCGATATTTTCATGGAGCGCCGTACGACGTCAGACTTGACTCGGAACAGCTTGGTGGCCGGTGAGAGCATTGAATTCAATTTGACCATCTAGAAAAGATTTGCTAAGTAAAGTTTGTAGGGTTTCTGAGGGCTCTTGAGTTCTATGACGGCATACTCTTTTTGACCACAAACAGGGTAGGATCGTTTGACGATGCATTTATCTCCCGCATCCACATCCAGCTGTATTACCCTGACTTCAGTGACGACGAGCGCCAAAAGATCTGGAAGAACTTTATCGACAAGCTCGCCCGAGAGAGGGGCGAAACGATACGCCTGACCATCGACGCCAAGGAATACATTGAGTCAATGAGGAAACAGGGTCTTAATTGGAACGGTAGAGAGATAAGAAATGGTAAGATAATCAACGCTGAGAATTACTCGCATGAGGTTATTGCTGACTTGGCCATGCTGCAGCCTTTCAGACGGCTGTAGCCCTTGCGGAGTATGAAGCGGACAAGGATAGTGAAGGGAGAATCATGGTGAAAGATGATCATCTCAGAGCAGTTGTCGACCTTTCGAAGGATTTCAAGCATTATCTCAACGATCTCCATAAAAGGGATGAGGGGAAGAGAGCGGAGCAGAGATCTGAGAGACTGGACAGTTTTGAAGGCTCTAAGTAGCCGTCTTGACGAAAGTTTTCTCAGCTGGAAACAACCCTATAGATGAAAAGCCCAGTGCCCAAGATTGGCCCGATGGCACCTTAGTTCAGTACGGAATGGGTAATTCGACCTTTTACTCGTCGTTGTTGGATGGACTCTCCTTTCATCTTCCGAGCTGACTCTACCGAGGCCGAGCTGGGCCGTACCGTTTGTGTTATTTGTGCCACTTAGAAATGCGTCGCTTTACGTCACCTAAGATTGCTTTCACCGAACCGAAACAACTGATAAGACTTTCTACCTCGATTCAGCTTGAAGGATTCAACCAGAATCTAGGCGAACTGCTCCACTCCAGTGCGAGGTAGGCGCCAAGAGTAATCCTTTGATCCTTCCAAAACACCTTCCTTGATAAGACAAGCTTGCCAATCCCAGTTTTACCTAAGTCTGTACTGACTAATGTTGATCAGCTGTTCGAAAGCGGGTATACATAGACCAGTCCTCTCGGGAAACTTTGGTTGGCAATGCAACTAAGCACAAGACACAAATTCCCGACAAAGATTCCGTCGCACATCACAGATACTTAATTCAGGTTAAAAGCCTTTCAGTGTAAGCACATAACGTTGAGTTGATTATGTGTTATGAAAATGGTAGACGCTGATCATATCAGTAAAGCTCAGAAGTAAAAAAAGATGGCCATCCTCAACTTCGCCGTTCTCGTCATCGCGGCTACCGTGGCGTTTGCTGCTCCTGAGGCTATCGAGGAACGACAGGCTGCCGGGTGTCAGCCTGCAGAGACTGTCTGTCGCGGTGGTTGGGCTTGGTGCTGCTCTGGATCTACTTGCTACGAGTTTGCTCCCCCGGTGGCTTGTTAACGATACCAATGTTGGTGAGAGGCAGTGCGAATCTGCGGCGAGAATGATGGCTATCGTGAACAGGATTGCTAGAATCAAAACCCAGAGCCAATGGTCTCCTTTGCAAAGGGACCTAGCTCTGTGAGAGTGCGTTGAGGAGCATGGATAGCCGTAGCTGGTATCTCAGAGGGACTGATTTTGCTGTCGTGTTCGTCGTCGCACTTCTTCATCACAAACCCAACGAGCTCAACTATGCTTCTCATTACACTCCATCAACCAGTATGACCACCAGGGTCGTCTCTCTCTGTTTGACACTATTCTTACATGCAGCGTGAGTCGGCATGCTGTCAGATTACGCAACAGCCTTCTGGCCGTACACAATGACACCGGGAAAATTTCCGCCCTTCTCCGTCATGTCTTTGATGTATCTCTCTTCGAGGTTCTCAAACACTGAAGCCGGCATCTCGGGGCACATCACTAGCGATGCAACGTCAGCTCCATCATAGTTGGTGCCAAGGACGTGACTGACCTTTCGCCTGTCTTGAAACAAGGGCGATTGTGCGTTTAAATGGCTCAATGGACATTTTCATGTCCTCATCGTTGGCGTGTACTCTGCCGACGCCGCAGTTGATCCGCTCCAATTTGACGTTCTGCAACCCCGCCTTTTTGAAAGCCTCGGGCAATTTCTTCTGGTACCCCCGATCCATGCCCACCTTCTCCATCATGGTTCCGATGATGTGGATGACATCCTTCAGGGCCTGGGGCTGGTCTGGCTGGTCGGAAGACACGTCCAACTCCATAGCCTGCAGCCATCCGCCAGGCGCTAACGTTTCTATGAAAGTCAGCCCACAATGCACCCCATGAGTGGCGGAAAACGCGAAAACTAACCCGCAAGATTCGCCACGGCCTTCTCGACGCCGGATTTACTCGTGCTGTGAAGTACGTTGCGGACATGGGTCATGTCGAACTTGCCCTTGAGGTCGTCCGCGGGTGGATCGCAGACGTCCTGGGTTACGTAGCGGATGTTGCCCTGAGCTGACGTGGGCATGAAAACGGTCGACACGTCTGCGCCAACCAATTCGGCGGAGGGTGGGACTTGTTTCTGCAGGTCCCTGAGGAGCGTCCCTAATCTTGCGCGTCAACTTCAGGTTCTGGTGAATGCAACTGGCTACGGGAGCAGCGTACCATCGGCGCAACCCATGTCGAGGACCTTTAGGCCGTCTTTCTTGAGGTCGACGGGGGCGAATGCGATTTTGTCGTTGAGGCACATTTGGATCCAGCGGTGCTGGATTTGGAGACGCTCCACTTCGGCGTCGGCGTTACCAACCATGGCCAGGTATGACTTGTCGTCCTGGGCCTGGGCCTGGGCCCCGTTTGCACCGTTTGCGCCGTTCATGTTGAGGTTATTATGAGAATAGTATCTGAAAGATTGATTAGATTGAGATAGCTGAGAATTACAAGTATGAGAGTGTTGCTGGCTCACAATAAGAAGATGAGAGATGGTGGAAGAGCAATCACTTATTATATGCAGGTCATCGTCCCAAGCTTCAACACCAACTCGCAAAAGTCTCGATGTCAGCTGCTAGAAGCATCGGCAAAAACATACCGAAAAGCACTGGCTACCGAAGATACGGTAGCCAGAGCGCCGTTCTAGAATGCGACAGCTAGTCAGAAAATTGTCTGTTTCGACCAATAGCTACCACTCAAGAGCTACTTTGGCCATGCAAACTCAACCAGAAAGCCGGGGAGCATGAACTTCAACTTGTGTTTGCGGTATGGCAGAAGTTTCGATTGCTCAGGAAAGAACATGGAATGGCAACATGCCGGTTAGCGAGCCTCGAGATACGGATCCGATAGCGATACCGAACGGGCTTTGAGAGCGCCAGAGCGTAACAGCATTTATTCCATCCAGAATCTCACTTTCAGACGATCCGATTCTCCGTCCGTTGAAAGAGCAAACTACTCGACTTGTCAACTCTCCCTCCGGCTTCAGATGGATGGGGAGTTAGGGATGGTGAGGTGAGTGACGTGTTGGTGGGAGGGAGGGTTCATCGGGTGCGGGCGAGAGGGGCCGGCCGAGCTCCACGTTTTCCCTTCCCGTTTGCCCCTTGCCGTCAAACATGTGCCTGGTGGCTCGAGCCACGCAACAGGCGCTATCAATCAGTTACAGACGTGCGGACTAACCGAGGTTTACCTTCTCTCGTTGCTTCTGTATTTAATTCTGTTTCGTTTGCAATTGAGTTCTGTTTTGTCAGCCGACTGCAGCGAGTCTATGCATGCCCCCGGCGCACTTTCATCTGCTATGCCGCTTCCGCCGTCCGCAGCCGTGGCGGCGTGGCTCCGTCTAGTCAGCCGGACGGGGGCCGGGACGAGAAAAGCATCAATTCGGGGCTGGGCACTATTCGGGCGATCCGAGTAGAGTGTCGCTTAGAGGCATGGCAATTCGGAGAATCCTGCATAGCAATTCAGCCGGCGCCGTGCGGTTCCTGGCGTGCCTGGCAGAAGAACGGACGGGTTACAATACTGTGTCACATCGCCCGAGCCAAGCGGGTTGATCCATGCCCTGCAACGTATATCACTGCGCGTATCTCAACATACATGAAACCGCTGCCCCAATCTTGAGCTAAATAAGCAAAGTCACGCCATCCCTGGGAAACACTCACTGTAGGGCTGTTTCTCAGCGCTCTTTGGCTGTCTCTCAGTGCCGCTGTGCCGCTGCCCGCATGGCACAGCAGCCAACCCTTGAGTCCCTCACATTGCCGAGTCATTCTGGCTGATCCCCTTACCACCTTCCCTCATGGCGCGTGCGAAGATCCGAATCTCTCACGGCCATTGGCTCCACCCCAGAGACGATCAAGGTTTGAACATTGATTAACAGCTATTATCATCCCATCTAAGCCGTCCGCCGCTGTCTCGTACTTAATAACCCCGTCCACCCTCCATCTTCTTCGACAATGTTTCGTGTTCGCGAGTGTCAAGCCTCAGTGTGTGAAAAAAACTCCGTCCGTTGCTCTCTGTCCTTTTTGCCTCTCTCGAGTTGACCTCGACACCAACGTTCACTCCTTACCACCTCGCCTTACCGCGAACGCGAAATCGATATCGAACAGCAGCGCAGATCGCTTGCTTCGACAACCGTCATCATGAAGGCCACATTCGCTTATGTCATGGTCGCCGCGCTCTTCGGACTGTCGCAGGCTTCCGTTACCCCGCTCAACAACATCATCCGCCACGAGTACAACCTGAACGCCAGAGCTGGTGTTCACGGCAACCTGGCCGCGATCGCCCGCCGTGATGAGGCGGCGGCGCACACGCCCGAGTCCGACGTCTTGCAACCCGTCGTCTTGCAACCCGTCGTCTAAGAACACCACAAACACCGAGGCACACAATTGCGATCCCACAGCTACCACATGGGCGCATCAGCAACACCAGGCAACGGGCCACTTGGTCCGCCGAGTCTTCTTCACACCAAACGGAGCACAGCCAGATCCATGGCACTCCAAGCAACTTTCAACCTTCGATTCTTGCATGCGTTAGACATGCCACCTAGGGTACATGAGCGGGAGTTTACGGGCGAGCTGGGAATATGAGGGAGGCGTTTGCAGGATCCGAAACGAATTGGGGGTTGACCGGGCACGGGAAAACGGGACACGGGAGGGATGATGGCGGAGGGCTACCTGGCCGGACTGGTCTCAACAAACATGACTGACACCACGCTTGACAAGATTTCATTTTTCTTCCAACAAACAAAAAAGAATTCGTTCATCTCATCACACACCTGCCCCTCTCGAACAAGATTGACGTGATTTAACCTGCATCAACCCCTGCCGATAAGATCCCGCCCCAGCTGAGCTATTTTCTCAGCCCAGCGCTATCGCTGATAAGTCCAGGTGTAATTCCACGTCTTCTGCCCTTGGACCACCAAGTCGTAGTCCACGACCAAGCGATCATCTTCCGAAGTGTCGAAGGAAACAACGCCAAACTTGGAGCTGCCCCAAGGATGCGAATGCACAGAGACGTCCGTGTCCTCGATCTGCCTGTGATACCGAGTGAACGGTTCGTAGAACTGGTTTAGAGGGGACGTGGAAAATTCTATGATCGCCTTCCCACCCTTGTCGCCAGGCGGGAAAATTGTCGTCGCGTGTTCATGGCGATCCTAAAAAGCAATGTTAATCTCGACAATCACAATAGAGGAGATTGCCATCCCCACTGCAGTTTTCGGCCGGAGAGAAGCTTAACTCACCCCACTCAAGATAACCACTCCCTCGGTCAACCTCATCATGTCTAAGACCTGCTCCCGCTCGTGGAGGTATCCGGACCAGCTGTCGGCCGAATCGGGTCCCCTCCAATTTCGCGTGAAGGGCACGCTGCTCACGACGACCTTCCATGCTTTTTCGGACGCCAGCCACGCCTGGAGATCCGCGAGCTGGGCGGAGCCAAGCATCGTCTTGCTGGGCCCGTCGTCCATGGATTCCGCAGATCGGTATCGTCGAGTGTCCAGGACGAAGAAGGAGATGTCCCCCCTGCGGAAGATGTAATGCGTCTTGCCGAGGCCGAACTGCGACGAGGGGTTCGCGTGCCCCTGGTAGGCCCAGAATGGCTGCATGGCGGACTGGTACAACCCTGTCTCGTTGGCGGCCCAGTCGTTGGTGATTTCATGATCGTCGTAGAGATGGAGCCATGGCAGGGAGCGCAGTGCCGGCGTCCAGCTTGGCGAAGCGTAAACCTGGCGGTAGGCGCTGGTGTAGTCCTCGGGAGTCCAGCCGAGGGCGATGGGTAAGTCGATGTAGATGAAGTCGCCGAGGAAAAGCATCATATCGACCGGCTTCTGCGTGAGATATTGGTCTAGGTATTCGAGCCCCTTGATTCTGAGACCATGATCCACCGGGCTGTAGGGGTAAAAAGGCTTTATGCAACTAGTCGACACTAGACTCCATCGCTTGGGGTCTCTGGCTGCTGTCTTGAATGAGCCTGCATGGCTTGCATTAGTAATGTAATAGTACTCAGTATTGGCTTTGAGTTCTTCAAAAAGGAATGTGCCGGTATAGTCGTTTGCCTCGGTCACTGTGATGACCTGAGACTTTGGCTGCTTTGCATCTTCATCCGCCGAAGTAAGTCTGATTTCGACGTACGTGACAGGCGCAACTGGGGCACGAGCAACGATGTGTGCTGAGGTTTCGTCGACGTAACCCACACGAGAGAATGAGATGTCGTTGCTCTGATGTAAGTAATGACTTCGATACAGAAAGTCCCAAACAGCGCCCAGAGACAGTAGATTCAACAAAATTGTAACGGAGCTCGCAAGAGGCTGTCTTGAGTCAACCCACCCACATAGGAGCAGCAAACTTGGATGACGGCGCTTAGACTGAGAGTTGCGCGGGAAGAGTTTTGCAATGAGGTAAACGATGTAAAGCACAAAGTTGCCGTAGATGCGGTTGAGATACTTTCGTCCCAGAGGATGCTATCTCAGTGTTAGCTGCTTAACTCTTCCGTTTCAGGTGGTCAAGTACAAATCTTGTGAAGATCACCGCAGTGATTCTGAGAGTGAGCGTCGTGATAGCGGCCACGGAATCCAGAACGCTTGACAATGCCATATTCAGACTGGTTGTACCTGGTTGACTTGTTCCTCCGATGTTGATTTTAAGTTGCTTCCGACGCAAGACGGTTTGTCATCCGTTTCTCAGTCGACATGTTCGGTGAAAGTTGGTAGAAGGAGAGACCTAGACTTCCCAGTTTCTCACCCTCTTGCCAAATCTTCAGCCCAAGTCCGTGGCCTTGGAAGTACGGTCCTTGTCCGGTGGAGCTTCAAACCTTCCATGGAGTGACCAGTATCGAGTCTTGCCAATGAGGAAGACACGTGCCGCGTCTCGTCGGCTCAATCAGCAGTTTGCAGTTTCTAAGATTCACTAAGGGGGGCCTGTGGGCTGGTATGCGCGTCCCAGGACGTGTTCCCGAGCCGATCGGATTTAAACCGACTGTTAAACACACATTCAAACACTCTCAAATCGCAATGGCCCCCACCGAAGGATTGTGTTCACGAACTGGTAGGGTTCATCGGAACCAACATGTGGATCGCGGGCAGCGGGACTCCACTCCGATCGACGTCTGACAAGTCCGCATTCCACCACGTGCGTGTCGTTGAGCGCCGGGACCCGATGGATTTCCTCCGACAGCGGGGACATCGCGGTAACATCCAATAGAGAGGTTTTCGAGCTTGAGAAAGCTTGTTTTCGCTCTCAGTTCACAGGTGAAGAAGCTCGTCCTCGTCATGCGAAGGAACGCTATCCTCCTGCAAGAACCAACTTCCGGTATTCCTGGTTGCGGTCATGTTCCGTACATCTAATTGCCATCCTTTACCAGTCCTTGGATGCAAGTTTTCAAGCACGTGCCCAATGGTTCGCGGCGACTGGCAGCTCTCAACCATGAGGATCATTATTGAGCTCCAATGGCCGGCACACTTTATCCAACTTGGCGGGGGACCGGCAGCCACCAAGTGGTGCATTAACACATTGAATGCCGGTTCGCGCCTGGATTTCTTCTGATTTTGCGTGCGAACCCACGTCGAGGATCTTCAGAGTCCTTGCGTACCGAGGGCTTGGTATGATCAGGGGTTCCACGTGCAGTAGTCGCGAAACTCCCAGGTGCCGGGACCGTACCATACTTAAGTCTTTTGGTCGTCCATATTCCGTCTCGTTTCGTGACCGAGAAAACTTGGTGGACTGAGCCTCAAAGCCGCATCAAACATCGCCAATATGGAGACTGTAACACGCCCAGAAGCAGGCTCCGATTCTGCCAACGAAATCCCACAGAAAGATGCCGCAGTTGTCGTCACATCGCGAGACGACGCCTCGTCACAGGAGCAGGCTCCTCCGGTCAGGACAGCTGGCAAGCTCGATGTGCTGGTTCAAGGTGTGGCGCTGTTCTCGGATGGATACAACATCCAGATCATCGGCTACATGAACACAGTCTTGGCGAAGCTGTAAGTTCTAACAGTCCAGCAGACTCCTTTGACAATCGAACCTGTTGGCTGACATTCTCCCCAGCTATCCGAAGCAAATGACCAGCGAGGTCAAGACCAGACTTTCCAACTCCATCCTTATTGGTGACATTTTTGGCATGCTCATCTTCGGACTCTGCATCGACAGATTCGGCAGAAAAGTTGGCATCGTACTCACTACTTTCTTCCTGGTGTTGGTGAGTTGCTAGATGTTTACACTCTGTCGAGGATCTTTCGGGCTAAGATGCTCAGGGTATCGTGATTGCGACAGCCGCGCATGGAACTTCCGTGGAAGGAATGTTTTGGATGATGGTTATCGGGCGTGGAGTTGCGGGAGTCGGCGCTGGTAAGCTCACGCGGACGCCTTCAGTTCAATGCTTCGACTAATCGTTTCTAGGTGGAGAGTACACCGTTTGCACGTCCCAAGCTCTCGAGTGTGCCGACAGTACCGAAGCCATGCGGAGACGGCGTGGGATGCTCGTCGCCGTTTCCACGAATGCTGCCATCATCTCCGGTTTCGTGAGCTCTAGCATCGTATCCCTCATCGTCATCGCAGCCTATAACGGCCAAGCGAGCGACGGTATCTGGCGCATATGCTTCGGCATCGGCATCTTCGTAAGTAGACCATCCTTGTTCCCAGAGGCCCGTACTAACGTCTTGAATAGCTCCCCTTGGTGATTTTCTTCTTCCGTATGCGACTCGTCGACTCTCAGCAGTACAAGAAACATGCAATCCAGAAGAACATTCCCTACAAGCTTGCTCTCAAGTTTTACTGGAAGCCTCTCCTCGGTTGCTGCAGCGCCTGGTTCCTCTACGATGCTGTCGTCTATCCCTTCAACCTCCTCGCCCCGACCCTTGTCTCTGGGTTTTCCTCCCAGCAAACCATGATCCAGTCCATCGGCTGGTCAGCATTGATCAATGCTTTTGCTCTGCCCGGCGCTTTCATTGGAGCGCTGTTGATGGACCGCATTGGCCGCCGCCAGACATACGCCCTCGGCTGGGCCATCGTCTGCGTTTTCGGTTTCGCAATCGGCGGATCCATGATCCAACTCAACAACGTTTTCCCATTGTTCGTCACTTTGTACGGTCTCTTCCAGACTTTCTTGTCTGTGGGACCGGGCGATTGCAACTTTCTCGTTTCCAGCGAGTCTTTTCCGACTCCGCTCAGAGGGCACTTCCTAGGATTCGCGGCTGCGGTCGGTAAGGCTGGCGCTGCTGTTGGAACAACGGCACTCAGCGCCGCTCTCGCCAGTTTCGATGATCGCCTCAAGGGCCAGCAGGCCATTTTCTTGATTGGAAGTGGCATTTCTGTCATCGGCACTCTATGTGTCTGGTTTTTGATCCCTAACGTAAGCTACCTCAGCCCCTCTCTACTTCTCATGAACTTGACTGATCATTCTCAAAGGCTCCCAAGCATCTGGAAGATGAGGATGTGAGATTCAAGAAGTACCTCGAGGAGAATGGATATGATACTAGCAGCATGGGCTTGAAAGCTTAATAGTTCTTCGGCACGTAAATGGGCATCATAATGAGATATTACAGTTTCACTTGATGTCAGATTTCACAGGACATCAGGCGTAAGAAGAGCTCCGTCAAAAGCAAGTGTATGTCGCTACCTAATAATGCAAAGAAAAAGCACGCGTAATCTATAATGATGTGGCCTTCTCCGAGTTACCGCCGATTTGCCTTGTCCACAGATCCATGTATCTGCCTCCAAGAGTCAGCAACTCATTATGAGTTCCACTCTCCACCACCCTTCCCTCGTGAACCACAATGATCTTGTCTGCACTAACAACCGTAGATAGTCGATGTGCAATGACGAAGGTCGTCCTGCCCTCCTTCAACACGTCCAACGCACCCTGAATGCTCGACTCCGTCTTGGTGTCTACCGCGCTGGTAGCCTCATCGAGAATAAGGATTGGCGGATCCTTCAAGAAAACTCGAGCAATAGCCAGTCGCTGAATCTCACCACCTGATAACTTGACACCCTGCTCTCCCACACGACTTTGGTAGCCATCCGCAAACGACAAGATTCTGTCGTGGATTGCGGCCGCTCGGCAGGCATCGAAGATCTCCTCATCGGTGGCCATCGGCCGGGCGTAGCGGAGATTTTCCATCACTGTCGCGTTGAACAGCAAGGGATCCTGCGGGACGACGCCGAGGGCATCTCGAAGTGAGCTGAGAGTGATGCCGCGGATGTCGTGGCCGTCGATGGTGATGCGTCCGGAAGTCACGTCGTAGAATCGAAGTAAGAGCTTCATAATGGAGGACTTGCCCGCACCAGTCTCTCCAACTAGGGCAATCGTATGCCCTGGCGCAGCTGACATGTTCAGGTCCTGGATCGTCGGCCGTCTTGGATCGTAAGAGAAGCTGACATCCTCGAACTCGACGTGCCCCTTGACGTCCCTCAGCTCCCTCGCGTTCTCACTTTCGACGATTGTTGACTTGGTTTGGAGGAGATTGAGAAGACGTTCGGCATCGACCAAGTCATTCATCAAGTATCGGTAATCGTGCGAAAGCCACTTCAACGGCCAGACCAGATAGTCCCAGTACTGAAGCAGAAAGACAAAGTCGCCCGCAGTGGCTCTGCCTTGCGAGATCTCGCGCAAAACCAGGCTGGCAAGAACGAAGAAGGTGAGCGGAACGGCCATGTCGAGAAGGCCTTGAACAAGCGCGTCGCCAATGCCGTACCTACGACTGGCTTCAAGTCGAGACTCAACAGTCTCGCCAAAGCGACGCTTCTCGTAGCCAAACATGTTGAAGTAAGTGACAGTCTGCCAACCCTGAACAGCCTGGTGCATGACCCTGGCCTCTTCTCTCTCTGCCTTGCTTGAGGCGCGCTTGTTCTTGATGTTCATGCTGGATGTATAGACTTCAAGCGTCATGAACGCTGCCGCAGCCAATGCCATGGCAAGAGCGAGGTAGACATTGAACTTCCAGTAAAGCAGCCAAAACGCGACAAACAAGTCGATGACGGTAGGGAGTATCTCGTTGACGGCGGTGTCCAGGACGTTGGTGAGTGACTCGCCCTGCTCAATGGCCTTCATCACTTCAGCTGAATCTCTTTCAGAGTGAAACTCCATTGACAGGCCCATGACGTGACCAAAAGCAGCGTTGGTAACTTGGCGATAAGAAAATTGCTTGATCGGGATCTTGGCGAGCGCGTCAAGGAGACCGAGGCCTGCGTCATCCTTGAGGATGACCAACCCCAGCCAGATGGCCAGAGTTCCGTAAGGAGCCTGGTTGTTGAGGATCTCATCCGTAACGCGGCCTAACTGACTTGGGATCAAGACGTTCAAAACTCTCCTTCCAGCGATGGAAAGCAAGCAAAGGAAGATGGAGAGCTGGACTTTCCGGTCTTTCTTTGGGATCAGATAAGGCAGAAAGATGGCAAAGTCTTTGATGTAACCAAGCCAGCCTCCGGTCTCCCTAAGTCGCTTAGCACGGCGACGTTTGATGCTGGCGCTGTCATCCTCGTCATCTTCGGAATCAGATTCGGAGTCCTTGCTGGCCACTTCCGTCTCAGTATCATCGCTAAATGGCACGCTGCCGTAACAAGTCGAATCGCTTCTGTCGATAGAACTCGCCCGGAGGAATGGCTGGCTTTCTTCCGAGGCATCTTGTTGATTCTTGCTGAGTGATTGACTTAGCCGGACCGAGAGAAGGAGCAACACAGCCAGTAGGCGGACTGCCTGGCAGCAGAGTATGGCGATTTGTCGGGTGGAGTTGAGATCGCCAACAGCGGTCAAAACTAGTAGTGGAGTTTCAAAGAGAACTGTGGCGGCGGGAACGCTTAGAGAAAAGCCGCGTCCATGGCGACGAAAAACAACGACTGTCCAAGCGAAAACAGACACAAAGAGATGAACCAAATGAGGTTGTTCAGTTTCCAACGCGTTTGGTTGATTAGCGGTGATAAAAAATTCTGAAACAAGTGTAGAAAAAGTGACAAGTAAAAGAATTAATCGTGGGTTTGATTGATTTTGTGGTAATGGTCGTACTCTATTGTCTGTTACTCGGCGGAGTTGTGCAAGTGTTGAAACAGCTGGGACTAGAGCGACGCCCAGTGCACAACCGTAGTGAAGGGCTTGACAAGCCCCAAGGCGAATGACCATGCTGGATGGGAGCGGTGACGCTTGGCTGAGGATGATCATTCTTAGGTGAGCAAGAGCCTCAAGATCAAGGCGGAAGAAACTTAATAAATATATGAATCTGAGTTGGTCCGAACTGGCGCGTGTGACGTAAGACCAAATGCCGGCGTGCATCGCAAACCAACAACAGTCTCTTTAGCTGTGTACCGTACCCTTTAGTGCTGATTCTGTCATCCCCACTACATTTACGATGTCCCGCAGTGGGCAAGTTTGTCTTGACTTTTTCGTTTGGGCAGTGCTCATACACTGAAATCTAACTCATACCGGGCCCGGGTCTCTAGCTAGACTGTTTAGACTGCGCTGAAGCGCGAACTTAAGTCGGAACGCGCGGGCTGCGGCATAACTGTAGCAGTTTGTCTCTATTAGGCTATCTTCAACAGGTCCTAATTGGGCTATTTTCAGTGGTTTGCCGCGGTGTTCTCGGGGTCCACGATGCACAGCCATCACCTTCAGCTGCAACCCAGTTCATGTTCCCTGTAAATGTTTCTTTCATTTGAGCCAATCCCCACTGAGGCCAAATCCAACTCAATTTCGATGCGATGATAACCATTCGCAAAAAAGCAGCAGATCAATCGACATTGGGTGAAAGCGAGTCACAATTGTCTGAGAGCATCATGATGAGCCATCATGTGACTCACATGTGCACATCAGCAGTGACATGCAAGACCCGTATTGAGCTTTTTTTGATGAAGAACTGTTCTGTTGTCAGACGACAGAACCAATCGACAGATTTCGGCAAAAGTCCTCCACTTGCGTACGGCTAACACGCTGCTTGGGTGGCGAATTCGATGCTCAACCAACAGTCCGCAAAGTTCTGTCCAATTTGTTGACCCCAATGCAGCAAACATGAATCTCAAAGTCTAGCTTCTACCGGTTCTCCCATCTCCTCATTTTACTGGCACCTCATTCGCTTCCAAGACTGAGAGCCGTCATGTTTGTCGCAAGGGCGGCTGCGCCCTGGTGCTTGTGGTCAGGAATCGCAGCCAACTCCTTCAGCTTGGCCTGCTTCTCCATCCACGCTCGTGCCCCGCCGTAATTGCAGTTGTAATCCATGAACTCTCCGGGGTTCCTGTCCGCGTCAGAACGTTCTCTTTCACCTTCACTGGAAAGATACCTTCACTCACATTGTGATTTTGTTGGTGGACTTGTCAGTTGCTGGCTTGCCTGACTGTCTGCTGTAGCCCTGAATGAGCGTTGCGCGATCGCATCGGCACTCGAAAACGGTCTGCTTCAATTGTTAGGATACATGACATGCTGCGGAGATGTTATGCTTGCCTTGAGTAAACCAGCAACCTCATCCTCCGTTGGCTTAGTCTTAACATCGGAGAAGATGGCCCCGAGCGCTTCTGCGTCTTCGACACTCTGGCTGGCGCCTTGGCCTTGGGTCGGAAGCATCGGGTGGCTTGCGTCGCCAATGATGATAGTGCGTCCTTTATGCCATGTCTTCAGAGGATCCTACAAAATAGCTGTCAGTGAAATCCCTTCCGAAGGCGGTTTCGACTTACAAGATCACGTAATTGCCACAGGCCAACTTCGGTGCAGTTCTTGAAGACAGCTCTTGCCCAAGGAGGGAATACTTTAAAAGTTTCCCTGAGCTTTTCGGGATCTCCCTTGGTCGTCCAGGACTTGCCTTCTGCATTCTCTTGCATTTGATCTGGTAACTATTAGCAACGGCTTCGCACCAAATGAGATAGCTCACATACCATCTGGGACCATGGCAACAATGCTGTAAATCGAACCATTTCTAGCAGGGCCCATGATGATTCTCCGGTCATGGCCCATTATCATCGTGGTAATCGACTCTTTGGGGTCGATGACGGATGTGAAGTCTTTGTCTTGCTCGAGTTCCGAGCTGTCAATAATGAGTCGATACGCTGGTTCAGATTAGCTGCTGCAAGATGCGAGAAATAACGTATGTGGGCTCACCCGATAATCCGGTAGGTATCGCGGGAGCCTCTTTTCCAATGACAGCCTGTCTCAGGACACTCTTACTGTCATATAAAGTAAGTAAAAACCGAATTTGAGAAACGATAGTAACTTTGAGGTGATACGCACATGCCGTCGGCACCTACGACCAGGTCTCCAACGACCTCCTCGCCGGATTCAAGCTTCACAACGCCAGCTTCTGGATCACAACTCGCAACCACGCACCCAGTACGTACAATAACTGGGCCGTCATCTTGTGTTTCTCTTGTTGCAGCCTCTTTAAGTGCATCATGCAGATCAACCCTTGGCAGTCAGCTCCTGCATCTTGACTGCATACCGCTCTTCGCCTACCTGTGGTACACCATGCGTTCCTAGGCGGCCGGTTAGTCATCATTGACAGTACGACTCTCACGTAGTGAAGGGTCTACCCACGGCTCCATAGTTCTTCTTGAGATGAAATGGGATCTCGGCGTGAAGTTTGCCGTCTGTGTCATAGATGCGGAACTGAAGAGGACATCAGCGCCATGTACTTGGATGTCTCATGGTCTATCAATGCGCACCGCCTTGTCGGCCATGGAGCCCTTCTTGGCAAGTGAATCTTCTAGGCCCCATTGCTTCTCAACGATCCTGCACAACGATGGTTAGCATAATGGAAGGAGCTACCACGTTTGGCAGCTATGGCTTATACAAACGCACTTCGAAGCATTCGGCTGTAAGCTGTACCAACCAGTCAGTCACTTTGCTCAGAGACTAAAGGCGACAGGACTTTTTCGGCCTTGGATATGGCGTCTTACGATATCGTTGCACCAATTTCCTTGTTTAGATGACTTTGTTCCAGCACAGTGATGTGCCGGTTTGGCCCACGCAATGCGATGGCCTGCAAGTATCAGCAATGTTTTTCAATGATTCAGCAAGCACCCGACATACCGAGGAGAGGCCTGCAATGCCGCCACCAACGATGACAATGCGAAATGTATTAGTATTGGCAGCCATTGCGATATGCTTTGACAGGTCACTGAAGGTATGCCGAGTAACAACGCCCAGAGCACCCTGGCAAGATCAAATACGAATCCTATCCAAGATTCGCCGAACCACAGTGAACTTGAGACAATCAGAAGATGTCGACCGCTCCGAGGGAAGTCATATGCCTACCGCATTCTGGTAATCATCCTTCAATCAATGGCCGTCCACTTGCCGACGACCCACCGGAATCGGCACGCATGCCATGGCATTGTGGAGACAGTTCAGGGGTACTTATTTTGCAGTGAAATCCGAACCGAACAAACCGAACCGAGGATTTGGAGGGGCCCGAGTGTAAGTCACCACGGGTGACCATCGTAGACCTCGGAGACTTGGAGGAACCCCCGGATGCACGGAAAGGCATTATTCGGGAGGACATATCGTGGCGAAAATCATGCCTTGATCCAAGATATCAATAAGAGCCGCGATCGTCTAACCCGAGTCAGACTTTTTGCAACAGCTCTGCAGCAGTCCAAGACGCACTTGCATAGGCACACTCACATCAATTACATCCAACATGGCCACCACTACCACCATCACTGAGCAACCCAGCGCTCCCATCACGGCCGTCGACGATGGTCGCATGAAGATGGATGGCTCAGACCCGACTTTTGGTGACTGGAGAGATGACCTCCTCCGCGATGGCTATGCCTTGATCAAGGGTGCCATCCCGAGAGAGCGTGCCGATGGCTACGCTGACAAGATGTACTCAGTCCTTGAGTCGTTGTAAGTAAACATCACCTTCTAGGAAAAGCTCGAAAGCTGACCAGCTGGGAAGTGGTCTTGGATACGACCGCAACGACCCATCTACCGTGCATCCCGACAAGCTTCCCGTCATCAACGAGAAGGGCATGCTGATGGCCTACGGCGCCTGCCACGAAGATTTCGTCTGGAGCATCCGCAGCGAGCCTGGAGTTGTCGGGCCCTTTGAGCAGGTCTACAACACCGAAGACTTGATTGTCTCCTTCGACGTCATCAACTATGGCTTCGCCAACCGTGCCAACTTGCCGGAGAACAAGCCTTGGCCTCATCAAGATCAAGTAAGCGTTACACAATTGTAAGACAAAAGTCACTACTAACACCATTTCAGGACCCCGAGAAGCCTGGCTTCCGCTGCCTCCAAGGCCTCGTCAACCTCCACCCTTGCGGTCCTAATGACGGCGGTCTGATTGTCTGCAAGGGTTCCCACAACCTCAGCGCCCAGTTCCACGAAGATCTCAAGGACGAGCCTCGCATTCCAGCCTGGACGAAGGAGTGGTACGGATTCACCGACCGCGGTATGCAGTGGCTCAAGGACCACGGCGGCGAATGGATCAAGGTCTGCGCTGACCCTGGTGACTTGATTGTCTGGGACTCCCGAACCGCACACTACAACGTTCCTGTCAAGGGCGAAATTGATCGCATGGCTGTCTATACTTGCTTCATGCCTGTGGCCGACGCCACTCAAGAGGACCTATTGAGGAAGAAGGCCGCATATGAAGGTAAGCCGATATGGATCTGTTTATGATTTGATATGTCACTAACACCTTGCCCGCGTAGCCCGCCTAGGAACTACTCACTGGCCCAATGCCAGACACACCGGCTCGAATGCTGCAGTTCGCAACGGAAAGCCCGATCACATTGTGAGGGACAGGCCACTGAACGACGCGGTGTTGAGTGAGAGAGCTTTCAAGTTGACCGGAATTCCCTACATCCAAACAAGCGCATGAGCTAAAATCACGGGCTCTTCTGGCTTCATCATCATGTATTTAAAAGACATTGTCATTCGCTAGCATAGTGTACAAGAACAAGATTGCTATCCTTCAAACCATTATCTCACCAGTGAAAACCGTGATAAACACCGAACTTCGAGCAGGGCAAGGCCTGCAAAGTTCCTCGTTGCAATATGCATCGCCAACAAGGACACTCGCTTGGAAAGCCGCGTATGCAGTACTCTTCAACGATGCATTGGCGCATGCATTGTCAATCATGATATTCCGAGACTTGCTCCGAGGACTTCGCGCGAAGATCCGAAGATCCTGGCTCTTTCTTCATGGCATCGCCATCCGTGAAGAATTCCCGAGTCCGCGGATGTGGTATCTGAGAGCAATATTAACCCAAACCGTACCGAGCTGCTTTCCATCCGAGATGAGCCCAATGACGAAAGATGCCATCGCGACTCTACCCAATAGTTGCCACATAGCAGGGGAAAGCATATCCGTGATGACCCGTTCTTGGCTAAGGGCGAAGAGAACGATAAGACAATAACAAAGACGTCGCTTTCCGAACCGAAGCGTCGTGTCAAGTGTGGCACAGCAATCAAACCGAGGACTCCAACTCCGGGGTGCCGTGAGGGGCATGTTGCTGGGCTTCCCCTTGTTTGGCTAGTCTTCCCCGCAAACAAGCTGAATGGGTACGGAGCGCCGAACGACACTAGCGACTGACCCAAGCCCGGGGCCCCTCTCTCACAATCATCTGCACCCCAGCTTCCCCAATCCGTACCCCACGCCGAATCTTGGTGAAGGCTGGGGTAAGGGGGGAGGGATACAGCCAAGGAATCAGACATGTAGAGACGAGCGTCGTTGAGGCATGTCGAGTTCGGCAAATGGCAACGTCGACATTTGTCAGGTAACATCAATCACAGAAATAGACCCATCTTCCCCGGATTGTCTCTGGATAGGGAGTATCGATCAACATCCTCATTTCAAAGTCCTACCTTGAAGGACAGAGGACAGAAAACAGTAATCAAAACGATACCTTGATCCCTCGTCTCACTTCAAAACTTCACTCTCAGCAGCTCAAAGCTATCCAACATGGGCGAAACAGACAGCAAGATCACCGAAGAGAGAGTCGAATCCGCCGACTTTGCCCAAAAGCCCCCGATTGACGATGGAATCTACAAGCCCAATGTCCAGTTGGCTGATGGAGACGTCACATATCTCATCCCGACTCCAAGTTCTGACCCACGAGGTAAGTAATCTCAATCTAGTCATCTTGAGTCCCGAGTTCAAGGCTGGATTGGGAAGCATGAAAACTGACTTGAAAACCTCTTAGACCCTCTCAACTTGAGCAAGCTGAGAAAATGGGTAAGCCCTTGAAACCTAACCAGAAAGTAATACGGCGGTATACTGACCGCGTTCCATAACAGATTATTACGATGACCTGCGCTACCTTCGCCGCCGTTGGCTTGGTACAAGTTTCCGGACTCGGTGCACTCCTCGGCGAATTCATCCCACAATACGCAGCTGAAGGACACGGCAGCTATGAAGACATCTCACACCTCATGACATACCCATCGCTCTTCATGGGGCTGGGTAATCTCATTGGCATGCCTCTGGCCCTTGCTGTTGGCCGTCGACCTGTCTTCCTTGGCTCCTGCGCCCTGGCTGTTTTGGGATCCATCCTCTGTGGCACGGCCAAGACCTACAACTCCCATCTCGCTGCTCGCATGATCCTCGGTCTAGCGGCTGGACAGAGTGAAGCTCTTTGCCCGTTGATGGTTCAAGAAGTTCACTTCCTCCATGAGCGAGCCCGATGCCTGATGTGGTTCACCCTCTGGCAGTCTACCCTGAGCGGAGTCTACACTCTCCTCACATCTTATATCGCCGCCGGTATTGGCTCATCCGGGTGGTACTTTCTCGGAGCCGGTATCGCTGCTCTGACCTTTCTCTTTGCTATCTTCATGGTGCCTGAGACGAAGTACGACAGACCCCTGGCTGCCTATCAGGGCCAGGAAGCCTCGGTTTCTCGCTTCGTCACTGCTCATGCCCCAGGCGTCGATGACACCACTGGTGTCTACACCGAGATGCTCACCCGCAAAACCACCACCGAGCCTCGCGAACTCGACTTTGTCAACTTCAAGCCTCGCACTTTGGCCTCCGACATCCGCCTTCTCAACCAGAAGCCCGACTGGAAGGAGGGCTGGCAATGCTGCACCGGCATGGCCATTGTCACCTTCTTCCCTGATATGATGTGGGCCCTACTTTTGAACGGCCTTACAATGTAAGACGCAGCCCGGGCATTTGCCAACCTACCCACAAAGTTCCAGTATACTGTCACTAACGTATTCTTCTCGACAGCGGCGTCAACATCGCACTTGGCACCACGTATGGAGCTATCTTGCAGGCAGCCCCCTACAGCTGGAGCTCTTCCGTCGTCAGCTTCGCTTTGACCGGCCAGATCGTCGTCGCCTTTCTGGCTCTGCCCCTTCTGGGCCGCGGCTCAGATTGGATCATTCAATACTTCGCTCGTCGCAATGGCGGCATCCACAAGCCCGAGTACCGACTCATTCCTCTCATCATCCCTGTCATCGTGGGCACGCTCGCCTCCATCCTCTACGGCCAGGCGGCGGCGCACCCGGAGAGGTTCCATTGGTTTGCCATCGTCTTCTCCATCAACGCTTACTACTTTGGCTTCGTGGGAGCGAACCAGGTTGGAATCACCTACGCCCTCGACGCCTACCCAACCCGCTCCGGCCCTGTGCTTGTCATTATCTGCGCCATGCGAGGCGTCATTTCCTTCGGCACTAGTTACGGAGTCACGCCGTTTGTCAACTCCATTGGATACGATGGAGCTTTCGGAGTTTACGGTGGACTGACTGCTGCTCTTGGGGCTGTTGGAATCTTTGTCTTTATTTGGGGTACTCAAATCAGAGCCATGGTTGCTAAGTGGGCTGTTGCGGAGACTAGTGCCACTCCGTCGTACAACCACTAGCACGGCATCATGACTTTGAAGGCTAGGATACCAATTACGACTGGAATTTGTTGAAGCCCGCTTAAGAAGCGGTCTTGCGATGCAAGTTCAAAAGGTCGGAGACGGAGATCACACTGGGAACTTGAATTTGGAATGGAGACAGACACGAAGATAATGAACTTGATTGAATTAAATCGCTTTGGAATGAATACTACGATAACTTCGAAATGGTCATTATGTCGAAGCCTGGTTCCTAATTGTACGCTCAACTTCTACCTCCAAGTGGGTATCTTGAGAATGGGTATTGCTGCGCTTAGTACCGAAGCAGGTGTGATGGCATGAAAGCAAACGCGCCTGAATTGCTCTCCAGCAACTAACACGTCGTCTAACTTGAGCAAGCCTGGAAGCTTCATTATTTTGACCAAGTACCTTCTCAAATGAGTCACTTGTATACAAGGTGGTGATAATCCCATGCACTTTCACACTTCGCACACGCGAGTTTCACAGTTCTTATGGCCAAACTTTCAATTAATATCCAATCATGAGTAATATCTAAACAGGAGTACTATCATTGAATAAACGGCAAGATAATCCGACTTTGATGTTCCGGACCGCAGTGGATAAAATGCTCACCCTTATTCCTCTCATGCTCAGGTCGCTCCGTCGAGAAGGCTTTGTACTCCGCAATAGAGGGAAATTGGCCGCCAATCTGGACTTGCACAGACTCGCCGGCCTCGTAGTCCACACCCATAGCCCAGATGCCAATTTCCAGCTCCACAATCTCGCCAGGTGGAATCTTCTGCTCCTCGTCATGCGGATGGAAGGGGAACTGGGGATGCATCGAACGTGACGGGTCGATCTTGCGGTGCGATGCCCTCAGCTGGCCAACCGAGCCAAGGTGAAGGTTCGTACTGCTTCGCTCCTTGGGGGCGATATCATGAATCGATTTGACGGGCGCCGCCCAGAAGGGGAAGCACAGATGCATCATCGGGTTACCGTCCTTATCGAGCTTGCGGATGTTCACAAAGACGTTCATGTCGTTGTGAGAAGGGCAAGACACGTAGAGAACTGCTTTGGGAATGCCAATCAGGCGCGAGGGCTTGTCGAAGGTGTATGTGAACTTGGCTAGGGAGTTTCCGTCCTCGGAGTTGTATGACGCCTTTAATGCACTTGCTGGGACTGACTCAGACAAAGCACCGTTCTCGAGGTAGAAGGTCTTGTAGTCGGTATTCGGAGGAGGGAAGTCTTCGAAGAGGATATCGCTTTCGGGTTCTCGGTCGCCGAACTTAAGGGATGTCCAGCGAACCTTCGGTGTCTTCTCCCAGTCGTTTTCGATGCCTTTCAGGTACCTATCAAAGAATTTCTATTTGATATATCAGTCGTCTGCGAAAAAGGGGCCCGGGCTCTTGAAGACTTACTGCAAGGTCTTCGTTCGTCTCGGGAACGCTGTAGAGATCAAACCACTCCTGCCAAGCGCTCCAGCGAATCCACTTCTTCTCACAGCCAAGCTCCATGAAACCTCTGATGCTGCCCATGGTGTGGATAGAGCTGAAGTCGGATCCCGAGATGTACGCTGGAATGTTGATGGCCTTCATGTTCGCGCGCTTGTCCTCCCACCAGATGTTGGACAGAGGGCTGCGGCGATACATCTCCGCAAAGTCCTCGACGCCCGAAGTTCCCTTAATGATCAAACTTGTAATGAGGTCGAAGTTGCTCATGGAGAAGATGCCACCTCTGACAAACTGCTCGCGGAACAGATCACCGCTCGCCTCCCAAGGTGCAATGGCCTTCAGCGACGGCGGATTCAGGGAGGCGACGTGCCATTGAGCGATGGCAAGGGCAGAGTTGCCGGCCATACCGACGCTGCTGTTGCACCAATCCATCTTGGCGATGGCCTCAATGACATCGTATGCGTCCTCGGCATCCTGCAGACCCATGATCGGAACCTGGCCGTCGCTGTTGCCGGCACCTCTGCTGTCGACGCTGATGATGGCGTACCCCTTTGGGCACCACCTCTGAGGATCCAGACCCTCGAATTTCTCGAGGCCACTAAGATCGCTCTTCTTGACGCAGCAAGACCACGGTGTCATGGGCAACATCGTCAGAGCGCTGTACTTCTTGCCGTAAGGAGACCAGCCGACGATGGCCGGGATCTTCTCCGTCGCGTCCGCTGGGCGGTACACGTCGATGTAGAGCCTGCACCCATCTCGGACCTTGATTTCAACGTCGTGGTCGATTCGAATGTCGCTTTCGAGAGGCTTCGCGTTGTATCCGTTCCAGCCCTTTGGGAGGACTTCAGTGCGGCCTGGGGTGAAGCCTTGATAATTGTTGACTCCGATTTCCGGCTTGCCGATGGGCTTGTGCGCAATCTGAATGGGGAGAGGCATGATTGGAGAATGTTTGATGAACTGGGGTGTTGGATGGGAATTTACAGTCTCCTGAAGCTGGATCTCTAGCCCAGGGTGTTGCCATTGTGGCGCTTTTTATTGAACGCGCCAGAATACCTTCTTCATCCTATCAACGACACCAATTGCTCAGCACGACGCGTAGTTCACTGCTTCGCGGGTGAGGGACCTCGGTCTATTGCTGCCCGTTGCGGGGATGGTGTCGGAAACATGTCCAGCCAAGCCAGATTTCGTGGGGTTAGACCGCGGGGTGAGATCCGGCCCAGATCCATTCGGTTTGGGAGCGGCCGCCGGCCCCACTCCCGTATCGAAAATGGGCCCTTGCAGCACCCCGAACCGAACCGAACCGAACCGTGTCCACTTCTCACGCTCACGGATTGAAGTCGAGACCGAGGCGAGGTTGGTAGACCGAGCCGGATGGGGCTGGGGGAGGAGTTCGAGACGAGGTCTGACCAGGGTGAGCTGGAGAACGCGGGGATCACGGACAAGGGTACGTCTGAGAGCTTCAGATCGCAGGCAGTGCAATATGTTATGGCTTTGACTGGAGTTGCATATAATGAAAGACGGGATTCTTAGATTTCAGCTTCAATTACACAGCATTGATCTTTCTCATATCAGTAAACATCAGCTAGAGCTCAGAAGCGCATTTTCTTAATCTCCCATACCAACCAAAATGTCCAAGTCCCTCCTCGAGCCAAAGGCTAACTACGGCGACTGGCGCGACCACTTCTTCGAACATGGCTACGCCATCCTTAAGAACGCTATTACTCCTGAGCGAGCTGAGTACTACAAACAGAAGCAGATCGACTGGCTCAAGTCCTTCAACCGCGGATTCGACCCCGACAATGAGGACACCTGGACATCGGAGCACCTCCCAGTCTCCTTCAAGGGAGGTATGTACGGGTCTTACTGCGCCCCCCATGAGCGATTCGCTTGGGAAGCCAGACTGTGAGTGATATTCTTTGGAGAACAGCATGGGCTTGGACCAGCCCGGGTGACTTACCAGATCTGGCTGACACGCTTGTAGGGAGCCTGGCGTCATCAACCCGTTCATCCATATTTGGGAAACTGAGGAGCTGCTCGTGAGCTTCGACATGTTCAATGTAACTCTCCCACGGCAGAAGGATCTCAAGTGGTCTCCATGGCCTCACTGTGGTACGTTTGTAGCTTTGTATACGAGGGCTTTCAGTTTCTGACTTCTCTGAACAGATCAAGATCCCAAGCGAAAGGGTCTCCAGTGCGTTCAGGGCCTGCTCAACTTCGCTCCGAACGGTGACAAGGACGGCGGTCTGATTCTCATGAGCGGATCAGCCAAGCTCTATGACCAGTTCTTCCAAGAAACTCGCGTGATGGCTGCTCACGAAGATGCTCCTCCTCCGGAAGAGAACTACAGAGATCTCTTCATCTTCAAGGAGGAAGACGTCAAGTGGTTCGAAGACCGCGGCTGCAAGCTAATCAAGCCGAACCTGGAGCCCGGTGACCTGGTGTTGTGGGACTCTCGGTACGTCTTCCGATTCATTTCTGTGAGAAGTTGGCTAATAGATATTCGCAAGCTCCATGCACTACGCCAAGCACCCCGAGGGCACACAGATTCGCCATGCCCAATACGTCTGCTTCACTCCTGCCAAGTTCGCCGACCCTCAGAGCATCAAGGAGAAGGCCGATATCTTCAGAGCCTGGGGAGGAACCACTCACTGGCCTCACACGAACATTCATCCCCAGGGCAAGGCCAAGAGGGATGGTGTGATTGATCCGCAGGAGCGTGAAGAGCCATTAGAGAAACCAGTGATCACGGATAGGTTGCTGCAATTGGCGGCGGTTAAGGCATATTAGATTGAAGATGTACGAGTAGCAATTGAGCTTTCATCGGAAGTCATAGGTTCTTAATCAATGTGTCAGTTCCGAACAATTTGACCGTTTAACATGCTGTGTAAAACCAGATGCAATCTGAGACTTGATTGCTGGTGGCCAGATTAAGTACGTGATAATTGCTATGTCGAGCATGATTCTGAAATATCATGAAGTTAAATCAACAGATGTTGAATAACTGCATTCCATGCGTCTTCTTCAGGGAAAAGGCGTTGAATGAAGGGTGCTTTCACATGAAGAGTCGAAACTGACTTGGGGAACCATATGAGTGTCTGCGAGGATGTCACACTGCAGCAAATGACCAGCTCACGTGTAGCGATGAACGCTGCACATCCCTGGATGCATCAAAACATGGACTTTTCAACACGTCGCCAGTTTCCACCGAGCATGCAACGAAACAGATCCACAGCTGCAGCAAGGAATGAAACCGGCTTTGATCAGTGATCAGCCATTAATAATTACGACGCCTCCAGTGGCCACTACCCGAGGCACATTGCCGCGGACCCCCTCCCCCGGATTGCTCAGGGCGGGGTCGCAGCGAACATGGGTCATTTGGGGGGGTTCTCCCCCTTCCCCACAGACTGGTCACATAACCTGGGGAAAATGCAAGAAAAACTATTCGGCTCAGCTTTTGTGTTCTTCTGGCAGATGCATACCCCCAGGGACCCTTTCTCCGTGTCTCCAAATCTATCCGTTATATACCCAGCCTGCCATTGAGACACATCCGAGCCCGACCGAGGAGTCTCCAAAGTCTCTCCCGTTCCGCCTCGGAGTCGAGCACCAGCCATGAACAGCCCTTCGTCTGCTGTAATGGCGGACTCGATGTCGAGCTCAAGCGAACAGCCGCCGATCACATCGAACGACAACCAGTCACACCCGAAGCGCATACGCCTCTCCCTGGCATGCAACCAATGTCGAAAACGCAAAGTGCGGTGCGATGCTCAGACGCCCAAGTGCCATAACTGCATCCTCAGAGGGGATGACTGCCAGACTACCAATCCTCGCAACCCCAAAGAGAACGCAGTTCGGAGATGGGCATCCAAAAGCAACGCCACTCGGAGTGAAAGCAGCATACCAGAAGCCTCTGAGCCGCCCCGTGATCGACACCTCCGGACGGTATCTCCAAGACCACGCCAGTATCTATCACCGTCCTATGACGATGGCTCTGAGGGCGAAGATGCCGCCTCACGCCGGCTCTCATGGGTCGCGCAGGCGTACCGAGCCAACGTCAGAGATAATGACAGCGGCCATGCACCCCACGACCACTCGGATCTCAATCCTGACATGGCCCTGAACACGGACGAAAGTCCCCATCGGCTCAAGTTCATGGGTGGCAGCAGCGTGCAGTCGCTTACCATGTTCGCCGACCTGTTCTTCCGCAAACGCGGCCTTCGGACCCTGTCGCCTTACTTCCGGTTCGGCATGCACCACGTGGAGGAATTCCAAGTTCCCCTGACACTGCAGCTGCCATCGCTGCCGCCTTTATCAGCCCTGGATGCGTACTTGGACGTGTACATGAAGCGGATATATCCTCTCTTTCCTGTCTTTGATGAGCCTACCTTCCGCTCGGACATGGGCCAGTTGGTCTCGCTTCAGGATGCCGATCCTTCTGGCGGGATCCAGAATGCTATGGACCTATCACAAGTACCGACACTTGTCTGCATCTACTCTATCATCTGCATCAGTGCAGATGAGGAGACAGGTACGGTGACAGAGATTGGGACGCATTTCCTGACCGCGGCGTACAGCCTTCTGGCCCATGTCATCTCAACGCCTTATCTTGCTTCGGTTCAGGCTCTAGTTCTTCTCACTCTTGCCCTTCGTGGCCGAAGCAAAGAAGGACAGGGATGGCAGACTCTTGGCCAAGCCATCAGAATAGCCCATTCCATCGGTCTTCACAGGCACGCCTCAACAAGACACATGAAGAGCCCTCCCCCGGCAACGGCCAACTCGGCCCCATCTCCAGGTTATCAAGGCTGCAGAAAGCTTCACAGTCAGCTCTGGTGGACGTGCTACACTCTTGAGAAGCTGATGCAGCTGGAGACAGGTCGTCCAAGTGCCATCCACGACTCAGACTGTGACCAGACATTGCCCGTACCAGTCCCTGTTCCCGCGGCTGGCATAGCCGTCTCCATCGGATCCTCCCCAGAAGGGCAAGCCGACCGCCAGGTGATCGACTACTTTCAGCCATGGGCCTCGTTGACACGCATAATCAGTAGCATCAGCGGTCATATCTACCGTCGATCTGGCCAAGCACAAACTCCCCGCATCCTCCTTGGTGACACAGTCCGTCTCGACTCGGCCCTCACAGAGTGGGCTCAGTCATTGCCCCCTGAGATTCGTCCTCCCGGACCAAACAGTGGAAACGTAATACTATGCGAGACTGGCCACAAACATCTTGCTATCTTTCTCGCGATCCACTACCACCACGCCCTGATATCTCTCCATCGAGCCGCACTCGTGTTCCCGGAAGCCATGTACCGAACCCATATCAACTCCCAAGCCGACTCGACCAGCATCTCGGCCGTTGAACTCAGCCGCCTTAGACGTGGCGCAGAGATCTGCATCGGCTCTGCAAGAGCAATTGTGAGACTAGTCGGCGAAATCGCCGATGACTCAACGCCGACGCCGCGAACCAGAGGAGGCATGCTCGGAGAACCGCACATCAACCGTTCCGAGTCGGTGATCTTCACGATCACACAACCTCTCATCTCTGCTGTTGCTCTGGCCCTTCATATATTAAAGCAGCCCGGTTCGCGCCTCGCACGGTCAGATCTTGAGCTCTTGGGCATCGCAGCGCAGTACGCAGAAGAGCAGTACACCAAGGTCACGCAGAACCCCCGCTTCATCCAAGCCTGCTCCGTCTTGCAGTCAAACATGTCCGAGATTGTCTTTTCGCAGCATGGCCAAGGCCAAGGCAGCTATTCTCATCACAACCACCGGGGTTCCATCGCATCTGATAACATGGCATGGAGAGGGGATGACCAGACTCCAACGGAGACATCCAGCGCCGGGAATATCGCCGCGGAGATGGACATAATGGATCTGGAACTACCAGATTTGACGGGCATGTTCACTGAAATCAGTAACACTGACATATTTGGAGGCGTCAGGCTTGAGGATCTTTGGGGGATGTTGGGCGCGCCCGCAGACGGGCAGGTAACCGATGGTTCGGAAGGGTCTTGGTCGCGGTCTTGAGGTAGGCGTCGGGTAATCGGCGTGGGCGTATTTATGAAACGTATGTATGATTGACGCATCGGGCCTAGGCTCTGGTAATAAACATTGCTAGTGTAAGTTTTGTATGCAGTCATCGGCAAAGGCTCCTTGTGCTCAATGGCCCCATCACCGCTGAAGTTGAACCTTGAACCAGAGGAGCCAGCTGAAAAGTGGCCGTCTACCCGACAGTATGGTCCGATGCAGACAGCCGCAGAGACATTTCCGACAACCTGGAAGAGACATTCGTTAGCGCTTCTTTTATGCTTCTTGGCGCTATTATCATTCGTGGCGGCGGGATGCTGCCAGTCGACTTCCGGCGATCCAACAAAGGCGCCAGTATAAAGCAACATCTTTGGCTGGCCGGCGAATTACCCAGAATAGCAGTCTGGGATGTTCTGGCCGCCACCTCGATCGTAAGACATCAGCCAGCTCTACCCGATTGCCTATTGCGTACTGCATGGCATTTATCTCACTGCGTGTTCAACGCCCTTGGCGCGCAGCGATGGAGTGGCTTTTGGTCCCTTTGTCTTGCTGGACCTTTTCAACTCGGACAGAGCCGCGAGAAACCCTCGACTGGTCATTTCTGCATCTTTCGTGAACATCGAAACGAAGATGCATTCCCTTGTAGCAGCGGCACTTTTCTTCATCCTGGTCCCAGTATTGATCTGGCACTTTATCGTCTATCCGCTATTTTGGTCTCCTCTGGCGTCCATCCCAGCAGCTCATCCGTTATGTCATATCACATCGCTTTGGGTTCATTGGAAACGACTTCGGGGGCAGGAGTACGAATGCGTATCAGAGGCCTTCCTCTCCAAGGGCCCTTATGTGCGCCTTGGTCCTCGTGAGGTTGCCGTCAACGACATTGAAGCCGTCCGCAATGGCTGGGGAGTGGGATCGTCCAGCTTTGACAAGCACCACTCTTATACGTATTTCGGAACTCATGGGTTAGTGAGACCTTCTAGTTTGCGGCTAGGTTCGACTAACATTTATCACTTCAGCATTACCAACACCTTCACAACGCTCGGGAGCAACGAGCATCGGGGACGTCGCCATCGTCTCCGGATCGCTCACTCCCGCCAGTTTCTCATGAAATCGCCTGATGTGCAATCTATTCTCGGCTCTCTCGTTCAACAAAAGCTGTACCCTCTGCTAGCTGATGTCGCCTCATCCAAGGATGGAACTGCTTCCGTAATGCCCTTGGCTCAATCCTTCGCGCTCGACTACGTGTCAGCTTTTGCATTCGGACTGTCTCTTGGCCACAACTTCCTCAAAGACCGTCTCGCCTACGATAAGTGGTTTGCTTTGAACAATGACTGCTACCCGGGTGGTTTCCTCGGCTACCTCCTCAAGGAGCACCCGCGGGTCGTGGAATTTGCTCGTCGGCTAGGTGTGCCGATCCTATCTAAGACCTATGTCGATGCTCGTCGAGAACTGGAGACATGGGCGCTGAGGAGAGTTGATGCTGCCGAAGACCTGCTACAGTCCCGTATGCAAGGTTCAGAGCCTGCACCGGGTGACCTGCCCGTGTTGTACGATGCCGTCAGGACAGCTATGGCGCAGCAGAGCGGTGTCAAAGATGCTGATTTTGTACCATCGGCGACGCAGAGGCTTGAACTGGCCAGCGAGTGTCTGGATCACATTAGTAAGTTGTCTTAATTCTTCCTATCAACACAGCACTAACAGAAGATAGCCTCGTCGGGAGAAACGTTTGGTACTACCTTCACCTACATGCTATGGGAGCTTTCCCGACACCCGGATATCCAAGCTGCACTTCATCGTGAGCTCTCGTCTCTCAAGCAGCCTCTCAGCGAAAATCGCTTGCCCGATTCACGGGATCTCGAGCAGCTTGAGCTGCTTAACGGCATCATCAAGGAAAGCCTGCGTCTTCGCAACACGGCTCCCGGTTTGGACCCGCGCGTAAGTCCTGCGCACGGCACAAGCAAGTTCGGTCGTATCGATGAACTCCCCAGCCACACACGAGTCGGCACCTATGGCAGGCATCTAAACCGCAACCCAGATGTCTACCTGGATCCCGAAGCTTGGAACCCGTATCGCTGGGTGTCGAAGGAACCTAAGGACTTGGCTGCGATGAACAGATGGTTCTACGCTTTTGGTTCAGGACAGCGAGGCTGCATTGGGCAACCCATTGCCATGGAATGTAAGTGTCAGCTCCGACCCGCATCATACCTCTGTCACTGACATACTCACAGTACTACGCATGGGGCTTGCATCTATTTACACTAGCTTCAAGACAAGCGTAGCGGACGAGACGGAGTATCCAGGGGCCGAATGTATGAGTGCCGCATGCACAGAGACATTGTTACTCCGTTTTGAGACAGTGTCCCCAGCTCTAGAGCCGTAATGCTCAGGATTTCGGCTCTCGTGGGCGGGTAACCATGAGGAAGGTTCTCTTCTGCAATAACCTTAGTTAACCAAAATAATTCAAAGAAGTCAAATCAAGTAATTCAAACACAGCTGCATTCCGCATATACCCTAACATACTATTGACGCCAGTGGGCGGCTTGTGTCCAGCCATTGCTGGGCTTGCACCTGTGTTCGCCATGACATCGTCTGTCACAAGCACACTCACAGAATCGGGTGATAAACAGGTGAGGTCGCAATTGGGGGGTTGTTTATGTTAAACTTCGCCAACCCACCTGCGAGCACAGCCATCAACTCCTGGCCCACGTTCGAGCCCGGTTCCGTTGTGTAAAAAGACACGCTCAGGCCGCTTTCAAGGTCGCCGGTTTACCGAGTCAACCGTATTCGGAAGGGATAAAAGGGGGTTTGCCAGTTTCGTCAACTGAACCAACCGGCGCTCGATTTATTTGGGTGCGCTTTGCTCAATACGAATAGCGACCCCGGCACAGTGGATCCTAAGTGGTCCAATGAATGCAACTGTATGTGGACTTTCTCCTCTTGAGATACGACGTAGCCGAGTTGTGAACGACTCTGGTAACCAGGCAGTATGGACAGTGCGCGAACGGTGGGCTATTGAGCATCTTCATGACATCCATAAAACTGTTTTATAAACAAAGCCAGTGCACCATCTCCAATCCAACGCTGCCTTTGCCTCTCCAGGTTCCGTGGAACATCGCCATTGCGCACCTTCGTTCGCTACGCCTCTACATTCGTTTCCTGCGCTGTCTTTTTTGTCGGCTAGGGCCGATCTCACATTCATTCAGACCAGGTTCTGTTAGTTCTCACCCGACGTCATTGTCAAACGATCAGAACTTCCGGGTTATTCGAAAAGCAAACTTCAACACCTTTGACGCGGTCATCATCATGCGCTTCTCAGTCGCCACATTGGCGGCTTTGGCCCTTGTGGACCATGCCTCGGCCGATCTACACTCTCTTGCGGTGGCAGCAGGAAAAAAGTATTTCGGAACGGCCACGGACAACAACGAACTTTCAGACTCATCTTACACCGCCATCACCAAGGTCGTGGGGAACTTCGGCCAAATCACGCCTGGGAACGGGCAGAAGTGGGACTACACCGAGCCTACGCAGGGCAAGTTCCAGTACACGTATGCCGACGTCGTGCCCAACTTCGCCAAAGCAAATGATCAAATTCTTCGCTGTCACACACTGCTGTACCGCTCCCAGATACCTTCCTGGTTGACTGGCGGGTCTTGGACCAAGGCTTCGTTGACGGCCGTCATCAAGACACATATTGAGAACTTGGTTGGTCATTACAAGGGGCAGTGTTACTCGTGGGACGTAGTCAACGAAGCTATTGATGACTCGGGCAACTACCGCGACACGGTGTTTCACGAAGTTCTCGGCCTCGATTATCTGTCGCTCGCTTTTAATACGGCACATGCTAGCGACCCTGCGGCCAAGCTGTACTACAACGACTACAACATCGAGAATACCAACGCGAAGCAGCAGAAGACGATTGAGCTGGTCAAGTACGTCCAGGACGCCGGTGCGCCCATACACGGCGTAGGCCTGCAGGGGCACTTCATCGTTGGCAGCATGCCAAGCCAGGAGGATCTCGAGTCTGTCGCCAACTCTTTCACCGCGCTGGGAGTTGATGTTGCCTACACGGAGGTGGATGTCAAGTTCACTAGCCTGCCGTACACCAGCGCTGGTCTCCAGTCCCAGGCTGAAGCCTATGTGTCCGTGATCAACGCCTGTCTCAACGTCGAAGGTTGCGTTGGCTGGACCATCTGGGACTGGACAGACAAGTACAGCTGGGTACCAGGCACGTTCCCCGGCCAGGGCGGCGCATGTCTGTTTGACAACAACTTTAAGCCCAAGCCAGCTTATTCTTCTGTTTCTTCTGCTCTCGCTGCTGCTGCCACGAAAGCGTCCTCTACCAAGGCTTTCCCCACCATTGCTGCCACTGCCACACCCACCATCACGTCAAAGGCTAGCAGCGCCGCCGTTACTTCTTCCGTTAATGCCTCGAAGGCGTCATCTGTTATTGCAGTCAACAGTACATCTGCTGTCCAGGCCACGTCTCTCGCAAACTCCAGCGCCATTGCGTCCGCCACACCGATCACTTTCTCTTCTGCCCCAACCCCAAGCTTGAACGCTACGGCGATCTACCCCAACGGAACCGCCATAGTCACCGGTCCTTCTGGAGCCCTGTCTACGATCTCTAGTGGCATTATTCCTACCATAACTTCCGGGGCTGGTGCTACTATCCCTAGCACCGGTGGCGATACCAACAATAACGTTCCTGTTTCAACTCGAAGTCACAGTGCTGGAGGTGCTGTGACCACGGAAGACGGCTACATCATATCCACTGTCTACACAACCAATATCTACACGGTCACCTCGTGCGCTTCTACTGTCACGAACTGCCCTGCCAATGCCGGTAGTCTCATAACTGAGGTCGCTGTCTTCACAACTACTATTGTGGCATCAACTGCGCCCGGTGTTCTCCCCACTTCAACCCCCGACGCATCTGCTACGATCAGCCCCTGCGAGAGAAAGCGCCGTCGCCGCCGTAGCAAGAAGCGTCATCTCGCCAGCATCTAGGAAGCTTGAGAAATTCTCATGCGTTTGCACAAGAAATCTAAGGCCCGTTGGGATGTGTCACTTACGTTGTATAATCATAATTCTAAGCAGCAAACTAAATTCAGCGGTATGCACCGCATGAAAACCCCGCTCTCTCTCTTGCATGTACTGAAACCTATGATGGCCGATGTGAACGTGGCTAGTAGCTGTCAGTGAGACCCTCTAGCCTTCGCAAAACCTGGAGGTGCTTCCATTGATAACAATTAGAATGCGAATGGCACCAAATAATTTCCTCATATGTCTTCGCCGGTTTCATGGTGGTAATGATAAAACTTCGTTTATCGAAAACAGTCTTGCGAAATCAAACTCAATCTAAGAACCCAAAGTGCACGGTAATACCAATTTAGCAGCCCGTTCAGCCTTAGCAATGTATCAAATTATGTTGAATAACCGATGTATCTCGTCTATCAGTCATCTACTGAACTTGACTGAGAATGCCGAGCACGTCGGCCATGAACTTCAAGTGGGTGATCTTGCCATCCTGCCATCGTGCAATCGTGTAGAACCAAGACTCAAAGCCTTGATTGGTTGCAGCGATTGAAGTCGGGGAGATGTAATCTGGAACTGCCAAGGCATTCGTGAGGTTGCCGCTGAGCCGAGCCACTGACGCAGTCCAATCTCCAGATCCGAAAATCACGTGAGGAGACAAGCGGACGTTCGAGAACGACTTCTGAAGCTGGCTGACGAGTGCAAAGAACTGGTCGCTGTTGAGTCCGTTGGGAGTGTTCTCGCGCGAGGTGAAGATCGTGACGTTCGGGGAAAGCATAAGGCTCTCAGAATTAAATTGACCGTTGTTCAAACCCGTCTCGAACTTCTGGTGAGACTCCTTGTTCGCTTCTGATGTGTTGGCGGATGCGTTGACCGCAAGGGGTATGGTATAAGTGCTCAAGGTAAGCGACTGAGTTCCCTCTTCAGTGACTGTGGACGGGAAGAAGCCCATCTGACGTTCCATGGTAACAAGGTCCATCCAGAGATGCTCTATGACAATTCTGCCTTCTTGCCAGTACGCCGCAGTCATGAACTCGTAGTTGACATGGCGGCCGGTCGGGCCTCGCCATCCATCTGGAGCTTGAATTGGGCCGGTGTTGGTCCCAGTGACGTCGGTCATGGTAATAGTCCAATTGCCCTCCCCAAAAGCCACCTTGTAAGGATGGTTGGTGACAGCAACATTGGGGAAGCTTGCGTATGTGTTCTGCAGGTCCTGGACGTGCTGCACCATATTAAACTCTCTCCCTCCCGGCATGTATACAATTGTGTCCTCCCGGTGGTTGAACCTGGAGAAGTCCAGCGAGTTGTAGGCATCGTCGGTGACTTGCATCTGTCGCACATTGGCTGACGCGTCCCAAGGACCAGCGGAAGCGTTTGGGTAGGGACAAGTGCCAATGAGCTTACAAGTCACAGGTCCTAAAGCGGCGTTAGTTGAGTAGAACTTCCATGAGGCTTTTCTCCTGAGGTTGAGGGAGTGAACTCATACCTGGAGTGACGCAACCGATATAGTCCGTCTCTGCGCGCTTTCGCAAAGAGCTGCTGCCTCCAACAGGTCTCATATGCAAATGGCTGCCACCCACGCAGGCGTACGCGACGTCAGTAAAATACCCAACCGCAGCCAAAAGGCTTAGAAGAGAAGTATGGGGTTTCATGTTGAAGATTCGAGGTAGGCGTGAATTCAATTGGGTGCTTTTCGCTACGGGAATGAAAAGGCGAAGGGATTCTGGTGATGATGATGATGATTTTGCTATCGAGTCTGTGAAGATGGGTACTGATCATTTTTATAACAACCGTCACTTCTTCTAGAGTTTCAAATGCCTTCAGCAACATATCATCATGCTCAACATACTCTACACCGAGTCTTGCCGCGCGGGTCGGTTGCGCTGGAAGGAGCTAAAATCCAAAGCCACACGGTTTTCTGTGTCTAAAGCTGTGATGTACGTGAAACTGAGACGCTAGCCCGAGCTGGAACCAAATAATCAACATTGTTCGCTAGCGATTACACTCTGCATAGCACTCACTAGCTGTCAATCTTGAGCAGTAAGACATCCTCTTACTATGGTCTAAGCCCACATCAGTACAATATGTGACAAAGCACGCTTACGACACGCCGTGTCTAGATCTGAGAACATCCTTCGGCCGGAACCAAATCTCATCCGGCATTACTAAAAAGTAGCCACAACTTCAGATATTCACAGAGTTGTGGAGTTGCTCACGATCTCGGCGCTTTCGTCAAAGGCCGAGTAGCGAGGCCGTCAATCTCAGAAACAAACCCCATCTGCGCGATAAGTGCTGTGTGATAATCTCGCGAACTGGTCATTCCGGTGGGATACCAATCCAAGTCTCGTCCAGAAACAAGGCAGACTTCTCGCCTCAGGAACATGTGCCAGCCGGTTATTTAAGGATGATTGCATGCCATGAGGCGTTGTAGTACATCCACTGCATATTGACGCTCGGAGAAAGGCCAAAAGGGGAATTTCGCACACTACGAGCAATCCGTATGTTGAGACTAGCTATGGAACTCAATTGATGTGGGCCAAGCTTGACTTCAACTTTCAGTTTTCCATTTGATGTTCTCCAGCTGATATCCTCGGCTACAAGCCCCAGCTTGGGCAGAATTGTCAGAGCTATCCCGCCGTCCGTAAACCTTGGCGCCATGGTATGGCACACAGTTCATCCCATCATTTGCTGGGCATCAATGTTTTCCACGCCTTTTATGTTGTTGAAATGGGAATGGTCTGAAAAGGTGCTAATTTCTTGGGACTCACCACGACACCCATCCTTTCTCCGAAATAAGTTGAGCTCTCGGACCGGGTTTACAAGTAAAAACCTGCAAAGGCAGTCTGCGCCAGGATCCCATCGTCACACAAGATGCATGGAAATCGCAGCGCTTTCCGCGGCTTCCACGTGGGCGACCGCAAAGTCAGTCAACATGGTACTACGTGGATTGACGGCAGAGATGGATGAATGCATGTAACAACGCTATGTCGTATGTTGGCGGTGCTCGCTACTGAAAACTCTAGGCGCGCACAGATGCGAAGGGTAGCATGAGAGGCATTTCTCTACGCCGACTGAATCATGTTAGACTCAGTCTCAAAGGCCAGACCCCAGATAGTTTGGATGTATGAAACGTCGCCTAAGCAACGTTTCCGGATGAAAATCCACGTATGCTCAATGCCCATTGCTGCTCAGGTGAAAATTCTGCTTTTATGTTCTTCCCCCCATATCGTGAGACGTAATCCAGATCAACGACGAAAAGCAGCAATACAAACAAATCAACTGATATTGAATCAAGATGGGAAGTTACGAGCAGACGATGTCCATGAAGAAGCAGCAGGTGTTGGGATCTTTCAGCTACTACGACAGCTCGGGGATTCCGGCTCTCGACGACCTCACGATCATTGAGGGCACTTCCCCTGATAATAAAACATATAAAGTCCCGGTAACCGACTTGCGATCTCTACCTTCACCGCTTTCAAGCTACACACACGAGAAACATGGCTTCCAAATCGTACGCCAGCCTCTTCCAATATCTCCCTCGTCGGCTTCGGTGCACAACCACAAGTACATGACAAACAAATACTATCCCGCTATGACTGACCTACTAAGAAGGACGCTGGGAGCAAGATGCGTGGTGGTTCGAAAGCATTCGATCCGAGATATGCCGAGTTGGTCCGAAATTGGTATGAACCCAGAGATTGGGTTCAGCATCGAGTCTTTGGCCCCATTCAATATCGCACACGCAGATCACACACCTGCCGGTGCTCGTGCGCACTTCCGCGCCATCAAGGAGTCGGGTTGGTTCTCGGAGAACGATACAGCCGATGAAGAGTGTACATCACCGAAAGAACGTACCGAGTTCTTCCGCCTGCGACGCGAGATCATCGAAGCTGAGGATCGGGCTATTGCGGAGGCTGGATTAGACCCAGAAGTGCAAGGAGAGACTACCCTGCCTAAGGGCGGTCATTGGGACTGGGACGGCAGCAACTACAAAGGCCCGCGCTATGCCTTCTTCAGCGTATGGCGTCCGTTCGAAACTGTTCAACGTGATCCATTGGCGGTCATGGATATGAGTTTGCCAGTGTCGAAAGACGTCGAGTTCGCTCCACTCACACGGACTTATCGCAAGCGCCCGGGATGCGTCCCATTTTACTATAGTGAAAATGCTATGGTGAGGCCCTTGGATGGAGGAAGAAGAGATTCTGGGTTCCAAGACGGCGAAAAGGATGAGGCCCGGGAGCATGCCTGGTGTTACCTCAGCGGGCAATCTCCAGAGGAGGTCTACTTGATCAAATTCTACGATAGCGAGGCTTTGGTTCGCAAAGGAAAGGGCGAAAAGGAGATTGCACTGCTATGCCCGCACAGCGCTTTCTACGTATCAGGGACAGAGAAGGAGCCGGTTCGGCGAAGCTGCGAGCTAAGGGTCTGGTGCATCTGGTGAAGCGAAACACGGGTCGGTGTTCAACGGGGCATAAGGGGCCAGGGATATGAATTATTAATAGACGAACGAGAATGGATTACAACTTAGACGTATACCCGACGTCCTTCAGATCCAAGACTTCGCCTGCCCTCCAGCTGACATTGCTGCCGGCATCGCTTCCTTCCTTCCACTTCCAACGAGGAATGTCCTGCTTTCCCTTTTCAATCAGCGTCTTGATCCAGTCTCCAACCACAGGCAACATCTTGAATCCATGCCCAGAGTCTCCAGTGGCAAGAAACAGGTCCTTCTTCCTAGGGACTGCATCAATGACATAGTCAGAGTCCGCAGTGTCGGCACACCAGCAGATGTGCTTGTTGATGAAAGGCCTCTCGGCCAAACTTGGGAGGGTTTCTCGAAGAAGCTGGCGAATCTTTTGTTCATCTGACTCACTCACGAAGTTGTTGTCGACGGGAGGCACGGAGAGCCCAGTCGTAGAAGAGTAGTTGGTATATCCTCCGCCACTGGGCGAGAACTTCAGAATACCCGTGCCCGGTTCTGGCTCGAAGTAAAAGCCGAGGTCGCGCGCATATGTGACCGGGATGCCTTTCAACTTCTCGGCCTCCTCCGGCTGAAGCTGAATATGAAGTACACTCCAAGCCTTGGCAGTGACTTGTCGGCCGACAGACGGAAGGACGTTTCCCAGCGACGCACCAACCGTAATGATGGTCTTGTCTGCCGTGAACTGCTTCCCTGATGCCGTCCGAGCACCAACGCACCGATCGCCATCGTACTCAAAGGCAACAACCTCATCGCCAGTATGGATCTCCACCCCTTGACTCTTGACATAGTCGTAAGTCGACTTCAGCGCATTTGCAGCATGGGCATACCCAGCGAAGCGGTTGAAATAGCCCTTCCATCCTTCCATCGGGCCATCCAAGGCGGGGGCAGCCTTGGAGATGTCTTCGCGGCTCTCGATGGCATCGATCTTGCCGGCCCATGCTGGGTGCGTCTTGATGCTTTCCAGAGACTTTGCCAAGGTCTTTTTGGTCTTTTCGGGTGCCGCTGCCGAGTTCGCCAGCAGATATCCGGTCTGGTGGTAGTGCGGGGAAAATGTCGGGTTGTTTGTCCACTCTTCCATGGCCTTGAGGGCTAGATCGGTGTAAAACGAGTCTTCATACTCTGCACGAATGATTTTGTTGACATCATTTCCTGCTGAGAGCTCGGATGGTACTGATGTGCCCTTTTCAAGTATCGTGATGGACTTGTAGCCGGCGCGGGTGAGATGATAGGCCGCCGACAGCCCAAACGTGCCGGCGCCAATGATCAATATTGACGGCTTTTGACTTGACATCTTGAAAAATATTCGTAAATCGAGACCGATCGCAGAATAGGAGGACTGAATAGACTTGGCAGTGTTCACTGAGGGAGTGCCTAATTTTGAGTCGCGACAACGTCCCAACTCCGAGGGCAACACCTCCGACGTCGGATACCTCCCGATTGCGGCTTGCGCCGGAGTCATGCGATCCCCAACCCGGACTCTTCCAATCGAAGCGCGGAGAAGTGGAAACCACAACTCAATAGCACTAATGTAACTCTCTGCAATTTGGACCCTTTGTTGTAATCGGCCCAGTCGCACCGACGCCGACGCCAATGTCCTCCAATCGCTCTGTTTCTCCACTCTAGGCGGCATCCGTATCTGCGGGGTAGCGATTAGCCAACTGGGATGATGCCGTCGATTCGACTTGCCATCTCTTATTCCCGTTATCATCTCATCCTGTCTGTAAATTGACACAACAAACGATTCTGGGTGACTCCGTCCAGATTCGTATGAACACTTGGTGATCTTTGCATGCGGTGGAGTTGCATCTCATTACCAAAAACATTGACACTTGTTCACAAGCAAAGTTACCATGCCAGTTACAGCACAACACAAAGCTCGAAAGCGCCGGAATGGGGAACTTCGCGTAAGAAGTGGATGCTGGAAGTGCCGAGGCGGGTTCATGTCACACTGCCACTTTCAAAAGACTATTCAGCGTGGACTAACTGTTGTACAACTCCAGAGCGACGCGTCAAATGCCCTGGTATGCAAATCTACGAGGCTTGATACTGGTGGTGAGGCTAACTGGAATCCACAGAGCAGCGGCCCATCTGCAGCCACTGCCAGAGACTAGGTTTCGGCTGCCATTATGAAATGCGGCTTTCCTGGCAAAGGCAACCAAATCATGGGGACCGCCCGAAGAGTCGTTTGCGGTCTTGTTCCTACAACAGCTTGATTGGAGAGTGGATGTTTCTCAACACAACTTGGCAAGACTTTGATGAGGTTTCAACGATTCTTCCTGGGCCATGGGTCGACAATTCAGATAACCACTCCAGATCACTTGATGCAACCCGCAGCTTGCTCTCGTTCAATACAAGCCCATCGGACCTAACGATTCCGAGAGGCCTTTCTCCACTGAGCCTTTCAACGGGAGAAGCTTCCTTGTGGAACTACTTCAATGAGTTCATTGCTCCACGCTGTGTCCTGAAAGATGGCATCAACCCCTACCGTCAGATCATTCTCCGAATAGCTGCTGCATCGCCTGGAGGGCCTGTATACCGGAGCATCCTCGCGGTTTCAGCACATCAAATGCAAGTTCTTAGACATTCGGAACAGCTGAGGAGTATCTGGACCTACCGAGACCATGCATTATTTTCTCTGAGAAAGACAATATCTGAATACTCTTCATCGACAACTGGCGGCTCCTTGAGGAAAGCATTGGCCCAGCAAATCACGGCGTCAACATTGATGATGTGTTTCTTCGAAGTACGATCTCCAATGTCAAGTTCTCTAGAACGCCACGCCATCTCCATAGACAGGTAGCTAATTATTCGTCACAGATCCTGCACGACTGCTCTCGCTCATGGGAAGTCCATGCAACATTTGCCAGGTCTTTCTTGATGTCGGAAATCTGCCATGAACTCAAAAACGACGATTTCTCCTCCAGCCTGTATGCGTTTGCCTCCACATATTTTGTCTACCACGATGCTCTGGCCTTCACAGCTAGCCCAGACGCAGCAGCTGTGCCACAGACAGCAAGTCGGCTGTCAAATCTCATTGACGGATACGACTCGTCCATCTTCATGACTTTAACTGGTTGTTCGAAGCGTCTCATCGACCTCCTCTCTCAAATCACCAGTCTCGCCAACAGCTCATCAACGCAAACTTCCAGCCGTACTGGCCCAGGTCCCCCTGAAGGAGATGTCTCCATCCAAGACGGCAAGCGAAATTCGACCGAGAGGGAGCTGCATCAAATGCAAACCCTTTCAACCCAAGGCGCAAGAGCGAAGTCTTTCTCGGATGAACCCCACGAGTCGGAGTGGATTTCTGAGCTGAAGCGTCTCACGAGCCTGATGTACCTGTATGCCCGCATCGACGGATGTAACCCTTCGCACCCGCACATGTTCAGACTCACGACCCAAATTCTAGAGATCATTCCAAAGATCTCTCTTCGCACCAACACTCTTCTTTGGCCTCTATTCACTGTTGCGACGCTTGGTATTCGCTCTATTCAGACGAAGACCGGCGGATGATTCTGAAGAAACTTCATCTGTTGCAGCAAACGAGGCAATTAGGCAATGTTAGGAAGGCCAGGCGTATTATAGAAGATGTTTGGAAAGCACGAGATCTAGAGACGAGTAATGCGGAGCAAGGTTGGTCAATACTTGCAGGTCGATACGACACCATTAGTCTAGCATGAAAGCCGCATAGCGAGTCTCGATGTATCGGATTAGCCAGCAAAAATGCCTTTCGATCATTTTTCGCTCTGCCTCGACTCTTATGTTACCATTTTCTTACGTTCCAGATTCATCATCAGTGGAACCCATAGTTTGATATAGACAGCGCCTTGCTAAGTGGTGTATCTGAAGTCCTTCTGCTTCTTGTCCGTGATATCTACGAACCCGTCGACCGTTCCCTCGTGAACCGCTTCCGGCTTGCCATATTTCTTGTCACGTCTCTTGTTCTCCAAGAGCGCCACCAGCCAGTAAGCCAACATCAACACCATGCTGACAACGTAGCTCGTAAGCATCGCAATGACCGCCCCGTTGTATTTCGGTGCTTGGGTTGAGATGAATGTCTGCGGTCCAATCAAGTTGCCAGCAGCATAACCAACTTGAACCAAACTGAAGCAGACAGCCTTTTTGGTCTGTCCTGCGGTGTTGGCTTGCGGGAGAGAGATGCCGACCACGTACGGGGCTGCAGTAATTGTTAGACATTGAAAACGGATTTCTGGGTCGACTGCACTTACGCCAGTAGAAGTACATGAAATATAGCCCGACCATCTGCGCTGCGATATTCGTTCTTGGAAGTCCATGAACTAGTGCCGTTCCAAGGATGGGCAGCAAGAGAGCGATACCAGCAACAAGAGTTCTCCGGTTATGCCATCGAGCTGCTAGATAGCTAAATGCCCAGGCGCTAGATGTAGCCAGAACGCCGAACGGCATGGTCAAGAGACTAGCTTCCAGGGAAGTGAAACCCAGGTTGTTGATAATGATGCTGCCAAAGTTGACGAGGCCTCCATTCGGAATATTGATGAAAATGTTGAAAACGAAAATGATCCAAATCTTAATGTCCAGCAAAGCTTCCCAGACTTGATCCCATTTCCAGACCTTGTTGGCAATACCAGTGCGATTCGCAGCGAGACGCTTGGTCGCATAGTACTTTTGCTCGTCAGTCAAGAAATGAGCGTTCATGGGGCTGTCTGGTAGGGTAAACCAGATGAATATCGAGTAAAGAACGTTGATGGTACCAGTCAGGAGGTACAGGTATTGCCATTTTAGAAGAGGGGCTGAGTCCGGAATTTTGCCAACTAGCCAAGCAAAGAAGCCATTGAAGACCGAGGAGAAGTACGCGAAGATGACTGCGAATGATAATTCAGCACGATTCTGTTCATGCGTTTGGCAATGCACTCACTGGCATTCCTTGGGGGCTGTTCCTTCTTCGTGTAAAAGCTCGAGACGAGTATCGTCAATGACGGGGAAATGGCAGCCTCGATGAAGCCCATGAAGAACCGAAGAGCCATAAACCCAGACCAATTTCGACATGGTGCATGTAAAAGCGTCAAAACCGACCAGAGTAGGGATGCGGCGCATAGAAACTTGGCGGGTGGAAATCGGAGGACAAGGTAAGATGCGATGACATAACCGATCAGTTGCTTAAAAGAGTTGACGTTAGCAGTTGGAGATTCGACAGCGAACACTGCCCGACTTACTCCCAAGGGTAGAACACTTCCAAGCCAACTATATTGTTGTCCAACAAACCCATTATCCGTCTGAAAGCCATAGAGAGATGCCGTTCCCATCTGGACTTTGTCGACCGCTCCGAGGGTGGCGGTGAACAGTAACTATGCACGTCTAACTTCAGCTTCATAACGAGATGGATGAGCAAAGAACCACTCACAAGTGGAATCATCCAAGCATCGATTTTCTTGACAATTTTCTTCTCCATTTCCGGGGTCATTGGCGGATAATCGTTTGCGTTCGCCAAGAACTCGGCGGCCTCGTCAAGGATGCCATCTTGTGGTGCTTTGGTTATTTCAGACTGTCCTTGAACGTTCGAGGAGCTCGGATGAATGGCTTTGATGTCTGGTTGCTCTGCCGGACTGTCTTTCTTCTCGGCCATGATGCCGTTTTGACACCTTTGTATCCAGTTGTGTTGCTGCAACAATTGGTCTTGTCTAAAAGCAACTCAAAAACACTTATGCTGGGACTGAGATGCTGATGAGGGGAAGATCATTTGTATTTAACTAGACATAAGTCCTTGTCGGCCTGGCGAGGCAGCTGTTGGAACTAGCCATCTTCATATCACTAGCCATATCTCCGACCGGGTAAGGGTCAGCGTCGCCGACTAGCATGGGGTTGGTTCGGGGGTTTATCGTCGACCGCATCAGCCCCGGGTTCTTATCACCCGCGCTGCAACTTTCCCATGCATGGATCCACCTGGCGACGTGCTGTCTGAGACAAGAGCTGTGATAGGACTCTTATCATTGGAAGGTCTAAACGACGAGGTTGGAGAACAGGGTTTTGGCCATATCTTCCCACCTGGCTTCCCCTTACCCCGCTATCGACGAAGCTGCATAGGCTGCAGATCACCTATCATCGTGCATGGCTGACTGATAGGTGCATGACTTCGTGGCAGCTCGAATCGACGGGCGTCTGTTGTGTCCAATACCATCGCGCATCTTGGGATAATGGTTGCCGGAGCATTCGCCGATCGAAACTGCGACATCGGCATCTAGCCATTTCTGCCGGATTGATGGCGATGGATCCGAAGGTTGTGTATCATATAATATGATGAGGTTCTTGTGAAGTCTTTCGTACGGTAACACCGATCTCTTGTTGATTGATTGGTATCACTCATTAGACTCAAAGATGGCCGTTGGAACAGCGATTCCCCACATTGAGCCGAAGAGCATTAACTTCGCGATCGGTAAGTCAGCCATTGTTCTTCATCGCTAGAGCTGCTAGCTAAACAGTACACGGATAGATCGCGGTGGCACTTTCACAGATGTTTGGGCCTCCATACCAGGGCAGCCCGATGTGGTGCTGAAGCTGTTGTCTGTTGACCCGGGCAACTACGATGATGCGCCAGCCGAAGGCATCAGGCGGGTGTTGGAGATGGTGTCTGGCACAACCATCCCACGTCGATCGCCCATTCCTAAAGATTTGATCCACTCAATACGCATGGGAACTACTGTTGCAACAAACGGTGAGCACTCGAGCTTCCTTGAGAAACCAGTTTGCTGATCGGGTGATCAGCACTCCTTGAGCGGAAAGGAACTCGGCACGCCTTTGTAGTTACCCAAGGATTCCGCGACCTTCTCGACATTGGCTACCAATCCAGACCCAAGCTCTTTGATCTTGGCATCCGCAAGCCAGAGCTTCTTTATGACGAAGTGGTCGAAGTTTCAGAACGACTAACGGTAGAAGCGTATGATGAGGATGTCTACAAGACCGCTCGTACTCAGCCTAAGGAGTCGCCTGGCTTGTTTGTCAAGGGCATCACGGGAGACATTCTAAGAGTCATCCGGCCCTTGGATGAAGGCGAAGTTCGTCAGAAGCTCTCAGACATCAGGTCCAAGGGTATCGAGACTTTGGCCATCTGTCTCGCGCACTCATACATGTACCCTAACCACGAAAACAAGGTTGCTGATATTGCGCGCGATCTTGGCTTTCAGCATGTTTCAACGTCATCGAGCGTGGGCGCGAACATGATCAAGATGATTTCAAGAGGAAGCTCAGCGTCGGCTGATGCTTACCTCACTCCTGAGATCATCCGCTACGTGAACGGATTTGCGAAACAATTCCAGGATGGCAACCTCGATAATATTTCGTGCGAGTTCATGCAGAGCGACGGTGGGCTGGTCAGCCACAAGGCGTTCAGTGGGTTGCGCGGCATCCTCAGTGGTCCTGCTGGTAAGTCTCACGTTCTGACCAGCGCTCAGCGCTCTGAAGGAAATCGCTGATTTGTTTTCAGGGGGAGTTGTTGGTCATGCCCGCACGTCATACGACGGCAAGTCACCCATTGTTGGGTTTGACATGGGTGGAACTTCTACCGACGTGAGCCGTTATGGTGGATCTTTAGAGCATGTCTTCGAATCTACAACCGCCGGCGTTTCCATTCAAAGTCCTCAACTGGACATCAACACTGTCGCTGCAGGCGGCGGCAGCATGCTCTTCTGGCGTGATGGACTCTTCAAAGTTGGACCTGAGGTACGGGCTCCGACTCTTACCATTGCTGTGCTTCCGCAGCTGACTTGATATAGAGTGCTGGAGCTCACCCCGGCCCGGCTTCATACAGGAAAGGTGGTCCGCTCACTGTGACTGACGCTAATCTTTTGTAAGTTTCTCGCTCAAAATGGTTCTTGTTGGCATGCTAACATCATGAAAGCCTCGGACGCCTGATCCCAAGTTACTTCCCGGCCATCTTCGGCCCCGATGAGAACTTGCCATTGGATTCTGAGATTGTCGCCACTAAGTTCGAAGAACTTACCAAGATAATCAACGCCGATACGGGACGTTCAATGACGCCTTATGAAGTCGCAGTCGGCTTCATCGATGTTGCGAACGAGTCGATGAGTCGGCCCATCCGAGCCCTTACAGAGGCCCGCGGTTTCGTCACCGCCGACCACAACCTTGCAACATTCGGTGGTGCAGGTGGACAACATGCATGTGAAATCGCGGAGAAGCTGGGAATCGGCCGCATCGTCGTCCACAAGTACTCGAGCATCCTCTCAGCATACGGAATGGCGCTGGCAGAGGTGGTCCAAGAGGCTCAGGAGCCAAGCTCCGAGATGCTGTCTGATGAGTCCCTTTCCAGACTCAATGAGAGGATTGACTACCTCAAGAAGAAGTCAACCGACGGACTACTCTCTCAGGGCATCAAACATGCCTCTATTCAACACGAGTCATATCTCAACCTCAGATACAACGGAACCGACACCAACTTTATGATTCTTCAACCTGAGGATGGCGATTGGCTCTCGGCTCTGGAGAGGGAACATCTGCGAGAACTCTCCTTCACCTTCCCCAGATCAAGGAAGGTCCATGTCGACGACATCCGTGTGCGCGGAGTTGGTAAGGCTGAGGAGTCTAGCACAGACAATGATCGACTCGTGGAGGAACTGAAGTCGTTATCATTCAGCGCCGTCACTAAGGGCGAGGACACTACTGTAAGCAATCTACCATGCTACTCACACGAAGTCCCAACTAACCCAGATACAGACCAACGCATACTTCACTAAAGGCGGCCTCCAAGCAACCAAGGTCTTCCGCCTCAACACACTGCAGCCGGGAGCAATCGTGGCTGGCCCAGCGATCATCATCGACAGCACGCAGACCATTGTAGTCGTCCCTGGCTCTCAAGCCAAGATCCTCACTTCTCACGTTGTCATCGACGTCGTTGATAAAGTGAACAAGAACAAGCCATCAGATGACGGGGACCTTGTGGTTGATCCCGTGAAGCTCAGCATCTTCGGTCATCGTTTCATGAGTATCGCAGAGCAGATGGGCCGCACTCTCCAGAAGACGAGTCTTTCGCTCAACATCAAAGAACGACTCGACTTTTCTTGTGCCATCTTTAGTCCTGATGGAGATCTGGTCGCTAATGCGCCGCATGTCCCTGTTCATTTGGGAAGCATGAGCTATGCTGTCAAGTACCAGCACGAGCTGCACCACGGAAAGTTGCGCCCAGGTGATGTCCTAGTTTCGAATCACCCTGAGGCTGGTGGTACTCATCTCCCTGGTTAGTCACCTGAATGCCACTCACTCCCTTTGAACTGGTATGCTAACTTTGACAGATATCACGGTCATTACTCCGGTCTTCGACGAAGACGGAAAGACAATCTGCTTCTACACCGCTTCGAGAGGCCACCACTTGGACATTGGTGGATCCAAGGGCAATTCCATGCCTCCGTGAGGACTTTCTCAGTCATGTCATTGTATTTCCATACTAACAAAAAGTAGCGATTCAACCGAGCTTTGGCAAGAAGGTGCTGCGATCAAGTCATTCTTCCTCATCCGAGACGGCGCCTTTGACGAGGAAGGCATCATCTCAATCCTCCTCGCCCCAGGAAACCATCCCGGCTGCAGCGGCTCTCGTCGTCTCCCCGACAACCTTTCCGACCTCAAGGCTCAGGTCGCCGCCAACACCAAGGGTAGCAGTCTCATCAGAACCCTCATGGAAGAGTTCGGAAAACCTGTCGTGCACTTTTACATGACGAAGATACAAGAGAATGCCGAAGTATCCGTCAGAAAGTACCTCCTTTCTGCGTACAAGAGATTCGGCTCCAAGCCCCTGAAGGCCGTGGATTATCTCGACAACGGCTCGCGCATGCAAGTTTCCATCACCATCGACGAGTCAGGGTTCGGCACATTCGATTTCACGGGAACCTCGTGTGAGATGCTGTCTAACATGAACGCGCCACCAGCAATTACCTACTCGGCCCTCATTTACACCCTTCGTCTCCTGATTGGATCCGATATCCCTCTCAACCAGGGCTGCCTCACTCCAACAAAGGTTATCATCCCCAAAAACACCTTCTTGAACCCTGGGCCGACATCAGCAGTCTGCTGCGGCAACACCCTTACCTCCCAGCGCCTGGTCGATCTCCTGCTCAAGGCGTTCCGAGCAGCCTCCGGATCGCAGGGTTGCATGAACTGCTTCGGCTTCTTTGGCAACTCGCTCGACCCCACAGCTTCACTGGACTCGACGACCAACAACAGCGAGGGCTTTGGCTTCGGATACGGCGAGACAATCTGTGGTGGCGAAGGAGCCGGCCCGACGTGGAATGGCGCATCAGCCGTTCAAATCCACATGACGAACACCCGCACGACGGACATCGAGATCATCGAGAAGAGATACCCGGTATTGATCCGCGAGTTCTCGATTCGACAGGGCAGTGGCGGACGGGGCAAGTTCACGGGCGGTTGCGGAATTGTGCGTGATTTTGAGTGCCGCGCACCATTGACGTACGGCATTATCTCGGAGCGTCGGGTCCACCAGCCCTACGGCATGATGGGTGGTGAGAATGGCGAATCGGGGGCGAATTACTGGGTCCAGAAGACGGGGGATGGCGGAGAAAGGTGGATCAACATCGGGCCTAGGGGCCAAGTCGATATGAAGACCGGAGATCGATGTGTCATCCATACCCCAGGAGGTGGTGGCTGGGGTATTCCGGATGAAGACGAGGGCAGTCAGATAAACGGGAGCAATGGTGTTGACGGTCCTTGGGAGGCGAAGGTTGAGTACCCAAGAGCGACCGGTAGTCTTCATACGTTTTCCGCCGCGCAAGAAGCTTCATCGTAGAAGGTCTGTTTAGGCACATGCAGTCGTAACGATAGATCGAGACTTTCACAAGATGGAAACGGTATTGATTCCTTCAACGTTCTGATCTGAGTCTCTAACTCCCTTCCGAGCACTTTTAAGACGAGTTTCTCTTGCTCACTTTGATGTGTTCTTCACCTTTGCCCTGTTCGTCCCTCTCGCCATCAACCTCGACCTTGTCCAGAGTGGCGACGCTATCCCCAGCCTCCTTGATGGCCCTCCAATTGAGACCAAAGTCGAGAATGTCAGGATACCGCTTTACATACCAGTACATTCCCATCATCGCCGCAATGCTACCCACACTGAATGCTGCTGCTAGCGGAAACCCGATTGGATATCGCGGAGAGTCCGCGGTCCGCCATGCTCGGAGCGGAATCGTCGCATGGCCGACGTACACCAACGTCACGGCCACACCAACAATCACAGACCGCGCCTCCGGTTCTTTGCGCAGAATGATGGCCAGCCATGCGAGCAAGGCATATCCCCACGCCGCCGTCGCAAACGTCAGGAAATAGAACGTCATGATCGTGCCGCGGCCGCCCGGCCACGCTGCCAATACCGAAGTCGCAACGAGCTGTAGGAGTGCGGCCCCGACGCCCACCTGCCAACGCCAGTTCTTCCAGTCGCTCAGCGCGTTGAGTGAGATGTTCGACACGATGGAGATAGCGTAGCCACCCAAAGGGATCAGGTTGACGGTGTACACTGAGTACAGCGCGTTGCCCTCCCCGTCTTTGAGACCCTTCAGATACAGCAGGAAGTAAGAGTTTGCGCGCTGCGACCACGCAAACTGGAGATAGGCGGCAAGGAACAGGTACGCCACTGGCGAGGTGAGGAGCTTTTTGACCTTGTTCCAGAGAGCCCTGCCTTTGATGATCTCCTGTGTTGTCGTGCCTGACTTGGCCATCCGAGAGGCGGCCAGGGCGCGCTCTTCTTTGGTAAGCCACAGAGCTCTGGTTGTCGTTGGCGCATCAGGGATGACGAGAAATCCGTACAGGCCCCACACGATTGTCATGATACCCGACACGACGAAGAGCCACTGCCATCCTTCGAGACCATGTACTCCGTTGAGGTTCTTGTACAGTGCGGCCTGTAAAATGCCCAGGAACATGCTCCCAGCGACGCTGCTCACGCCGAAGATGGCGAGACGCTTGCCAAGTTCCGAGGGGGTGTACCAGTTGAAGATTAGGTTGACGATGCCCGGCCAAGACGTTGCTTCGAACACGCCCAAGGCGAATCGCAGGCCAAAGACCGTCTTTGCGTTGCGGGCGGCAAAAGTCGCAAGCGTAATGGCACCCCACACTACCTCGCAGAAGGGCAGCCAGAGCGATGGGCGCACGCGGGTTTGGATGAGCTGGGAAGGGACGATGAAGAGGGCGTAGCCAATGGAAAAGTAAGTCGTGAACTCGACCAGCTCATTGCCGTAGAGCGAGAGGGACTCCTGCATGCCGGACACGTAGGCTGCTGTTGTGGCGGACTGGTCCATGTCTTTCATGAGACCGGCAACGAAGGCCCATGATAGCAGGAGAATGTCCAGTTTGAGGACAAGGACGTGCTCGGGATCCTTGAAGTAAGGATGGACTTTCGACAACCACGATGTTGACGAAAGGGCTGGTTTTGACGTGGAGGGCGTCACTTCTGTGTCAGAAGGCAGAGTTTCCGTTGTTGTTGCCATGATGATGGCTGTAGTCCTGTTCGCCAACTGATGCTGGACAGAACCAGTTTCTATGGCGGGTCAAAGTCTGTCTTTATGAGCAATTCATGAAGACGGCATATGCTTCGAGACAATAATCTCAGGCTACCTCGTCATTTTCAGCGAAGCTACACCGAGCGGGTCAAGTCCGATGTGAAGTCGGACCGTCCCGACGTTTGACGCGTTCAAGCCTTGCTGAGCGCGGATTACAACATCGCCAATGTCAATGGTGGAATTGAGGTCATCTGTGTTTGTTGCTCTGCCCGGGCTGAATTTCTTTCTCGGTCTCGAAAAGGGGGGCTGGCCGCTAGAATTTCTCCAGCCGGGGAGGGCGACTAGCGATTCATGGATGTTCCTAGCTGCAGCGTACGATGTCGCCATCAGGACGGATGATGCCGTCAACGTCGGGGACCCGCCGAGTGTGCCACTCGAAGGAATTTCCAGGTGAGAATCGGTCGCTCTGGCATCCAAGGAGGAAAGATTGATCGGGTTGGCCCCGATAAAGGATGCTGAGAATATCGACTCTGTCACAGTCTAGTGACAACCGAAGATGGCAATACATATACTGCAAGACAGCGCCGGATAATGACGTGCTAGCATTACCAGCGCACAGCAACACCCCAACAAATTGTTCCTTCCAGGCCGAGTCAGCTCATCATGGCCTCCCAGCCACTTTACCCAGCTTACCTGCCCACCCGGCCCGATGGTTTCCAGCCGACCATTGACGTTCCATTCTTTGATGCAGACGAGCCCGGCGTGAGAGCAAAGAAGTCCAACAAGCTCTCCGTCTTCAAAGCTCAGGATGCGAAGGTGGAGAATATTACCCCACGGGTTGGGTCTGAGATCCGCGGGGTCCAGTTGAGCCAGCTGTCCGGCGCCGGCCTTGACGAGGTCGCGTTGCTTGCGGCCGAGAGGGGTGTACTCGTGTTTGTGAGTCAAGGCGACTTCCGAACTCAACTGTCTCATTGAGAGTGTTCCATCTAATGAGAAAATATGATAGAGAGATCAAGACTTTGCCGACGTGGGGTTCGACAGACAGAAGGAGATTGTCCGACACTATGGGCCACTTCATCAAGTGAGTGCTCAAGTGATGCGAGATAGCTCGTAAGTTGACCGTGACTGTAGCACCCGACGATGGGCTATCCAGAAGGCACAGGGCCGGAATTTCACGTCGTCTACGCAGATGAAAAGGCGTAAGTCCATCCCCTCAGAAAAATTTTCAGAACATTGTTGATTTCCATTCGACAGAGGCAACCTGCGAAACCTCCTCGGTCCACGCACGAGCTATGATCTTTGGCACGTGGACCAAACATTCACCCCAAATGTCCCGTCAACCACGTTCTTCTGGGTCCTGGAGTCTCCGGCTTCAGGCGGCGGTGACACGGCCTTCACCTCCTTGACCGCCGCCTACTCCGCTCTCTCCCCCGCATTCCGGCGGACCCTCCACCCCCTCCGGCTCTTCCACACCTCCGCGTCCGTGGGCGAGGTAGCCCGCGTCGGCACAGAGCGGGCTCTCAAAGAAGCAGTGTCTACTACACATCCTCTCGTGATCAAGCATCCGGTTACCGGTAAACCCAGCCTATTCGTCAATCCGACCATCGCGCGCAAGGTAGAGGGCTTCTTGCCGGAGGAGTCGGATGCACTGCTGGGATTCCTGCACAATCACATCCGCAGCTTGGACTTCAGCTGCAGGGTGCGATGGGAGAAGGGGACGGTTGTGGTGTGGGATCAACGGAGTGTGGCGCATACCGCCGTGCCGGATTTCCAGGACGGGGAGAGGCGGCACATGGTCCGCATCATCCCGTACGGGACGAGACCGGAACCGGCTTTCCCTGAAGAGCATGGACCGGCCCGGGAAGAAGATGGTAAGGCGAGAAGCTTTGATTAGGTTGGCTTTGACGATGAGCTATTGATTGCAACGTTCAACGGCCCGGTTCAGCAATTGACATTCTTGGAGATAACAAACTTAATTGTTTGGATGAATACCCTGTGCACTAAAGTATATGCATGTCCCTCGAAGCTCAATTGCGCCGCCAAAATTGTCAAGCAAGCCTCGCAAACCCGTCATTGGAGCATCCGTGTTGCCGTGGTCTGATTTCAACCTCTTCAGCTGGCAAACCCGCCCCCTTATCGGAAAAAGCAAACCTAATTAACGCGACAATGACGCGAGGCATTGAGCTCCAAGTCACGTCATCCCTGAATCGCGACACGCCAAAGGGGTAAATGGAGACAAGCAGTGGATACGGAATGGGTCCCGATTGCGAATGGTCGCACGGGCAACCCAAGATAAGAGAAAGCTTCCTGTAACAGATAATTGAATAGAATTTTCCTCCCCTGACGCGGTTGAAGCTTTCTTCCTTCACGATCATCAATCTCCTCCACATTTCACAGTTCCCCAACTTTCTCCCCACGATCTTCCCGTACACTAAAACCACCAACAACCGTCACAATGTCTACCGCTTTCGTCCAGCGCCCTGCTCCTGAGTTCAAGGCCACCACCCTCTTCCCCGGTGGTGAGTTCAAGGACGTCTCTCTGTCCGACTACCTCGGCCAGTGGTAAGTAGCTCTCCTGCAACCTTGCGAGACATTATGTCTCCCAGGGAGCGAACGAACCCCATGCCACAAAGACGAGATAACTAACACGCACCGTCACAGGGTCGTCCTCCTCTTCTACCCCCTCGACTTCACCTTCGTCTGCCCGACCGAGATCATCCAGTACAACGACGCGCTGCCCCGCTTCAAGGACATCAACACCACCGTCCTCGGCGTCTCGACCGACTCGCACTTCTCCCACCTCGCCTGGACCGAGCGCCCCCGCAAGCAGGGCGGCCTCGGCGACGACCTCCAGCTGCCCTTGGTCGCCGACAAGTCCCACAAGATCTCGCGCAGCTACGGCGTGCTGATCGAGGACGAGGGCGTCGCCCTGCGCGGCCTCTTCATCATCGACCCCAAGGGCGTTCTGCGCCAGATCACCGTCAACGACCTGCCCGTCGGCCGCAACGTCGAGGAGACCATCCGCCTCGTCGAGGCCTTCCAGTTCACCGACGAGCACGGCGAGGTCTGCCCCGCCGGCTGGCAGAACGGCAGCAAGGGCATGAAGGCCGACCCCAAGGGCAGCCTGGAGTACTTCGCGGCGCAGAACGGGGAGAACGGCCACGCCAACGGCAACGGCACCAAGAGACTTCGCGTTGATTGAGCTGGGAGGAGAAAGAGCGTGTTAGACTTGTATTATGAGTGTAAAGAATTAGAAGTATAAAAGTAGAACTAGAGGGGCGGCTTTAGATGCCAGGTAGAAGGCCTGGTAAATGCTCAGACGTCTAGACCTAGATCAATGCGAAAACAGGTGCGTTTGCACACTTTCCCACACAGGCATTGGCTGTATCAAGGATGGCTGTTTACTCCCACCACTTGACATCCGTCTCCCTCAGGGTATTGCTTCCGCAGTGAATCTCCCCAAGCCCAACATGGTGCGACAAAAAGTCATCCACAAACCCAACATCCATACCAGTCGCACCATACACCGCCCTTACTCTCTCTTCAAACAGATCCTTCCCGTCAACCACAGGTCCCCACGGCTTCGGGCTCAAGTAATGCTCTCCCAAGACAATTCCGTTGATCGCAGCAGGGCTGAAGCTCGCCACCAGAAACTCGTCCGCCATCACCGTGTCCGTGTGTGAAGGCAGTCCGTCGTCGGAGCGGCTGAAACCCCCCTGGCCCATGTTGAGATCCTTGAAGAGCACCGGGACCCGGACGACATGCTCTCTCGCAAGCGGGATCTCGGAAAGCAGCGTCTCGAGGTTGGCGTCGATGTGCTTCTGGGCGTAGGCATTCACCTGGTGGAACGTCTCGTTGGCGAGGATCTGGTCGATTGTCGTCGCCAACTCCTCTGCAGAAGTCGAGAACGCGTTGTCGAGGCTGCCGTTGAATGACACAGCCCGCACCCCGCCGTGGCCTGCGGTGGACGCGTTGCGCAGGATCTCGAGAGCAGAGACAGTATCAGCGATGCCGATGGTGAACCCGAGACCCGTAATGTTAGACGGCAGGAACTGCACGAACTCATCGACGTGCCCGATTAGCAGCCATCCGGTCTCAAGCATCAGCGGCTTCTGCAACCCCTGCCCATCGAGGAACTTCGTCATCGACTCCGCGGGCATCTTCTCAAAGTGCTTGCCCTGAATAATGCGCCCGACTGGGTACTTGATGCCGCTCTTGGACGTATACGGCGGGATGGTCTCGAGGTTACCAAACGAGTTGATCTCAAGATGTCCAAATCCCCGACGGCCCCCTTCAGGCTGAAATCCGCCCACGCCCTTACCCCTCAACTGCTCAAACACCTGACGACCGCCAGTCCGCGTCGACTGTGCGGACCTCAGGACGATGCGGATCGAGATAGGGCCGTTCGGGCCCGGCATGCTGGCGTACGCCGGCTCGATGAAGTCCTGCGCCCAGATGTCGCTGCTCTGGTTGAAAAGATAGAGCGGCGTCTGCAGACCGGCGGCTGCGCGCCCCGCGTCGAGCTGGCGGATGAACTCGAGCTGGACGGGGTCGGAGGCGTTGGCAGCGGTGCTGATGAGGTTGTCGACGCGCTGGAGGTGGTGGTGCGTGAGGACTGGTGCGACTTTGAGCTGGACGGCGTCAGAGAGGATCGTGGTGTTGACGTGGAGGTCGAAGTGGACCGTGACCTTCCCATCCCACTCTGAGGAGTCTGTGACGAATTCGCGGCCGTCGATGCCCAGAGAGATACCGTTCTTGAGTTGTGTGGCATTGAAGATGAATTCAGGGTCGACGAGCCTCCATGCGGCGGTTTCGCTGGCGCGGGTGGGAAAATCGTTCACGAATAGGCGCACCCTCTGTGCCGCAGCTTTGGGGGTAGCGTAAATATGGGCAAAGACATCATCCGAGACATCTACCGGGGCGGTCTTCAACGGCGCGACAAAGCCTGGCTCGAGGAGCAGATGGCCGGAGGCATCATTGCAGGAGGCGAGCTCATGGTTGCTCAGGGGGTTGCCTTGCAGATCGGTGTTTGCGCAACGGTGGAGGGAATCGCCGACATTCGGAAGGAAGATCGCTCCTCGTGCCGGGTTCCAGAAAGCCTTGTCAGCATCATCGGCTTCGTTGACGGCGCCGTCGCGGTTGGTGTCTGCCCGGATGACGGGCCGTTGGGCGGTAGCGGCTCCGAGATGGAGGGCGGCCAGTGCGATGGTCGCCAGGTTTGTCGGAAGAAGCATCTCGGATATCAGAGATATTGAAGACCAGTGTGGGAATGTGAGCTTGAGGGAGAGTGCCTGGTTTGTTCTCAGTCTTGCCGCGGAAGTTGACTATCTTTTATAGTGATTTCTCTGCTCACCAAGAACGCCATGAGCACCGCCATCACCAACCATACAGACCTTCCCTTGGACAAATGCTCATCGGTGCCCGCGGGCGACAGATCTAGGTGGACTTTACGGACTTCGCGATCCTCATCGTCTCCTTTGATTCGACATTGTTTCCTTGATGCGGTCGCCATGATTGCCGATCCTACCTCGTATGGTACCCTCCCCACCGGAATATTGATAACACTGCCGTTATCAAATAAATGTAGAAAAGAAATGGGAAACTGCGCATTCATGCTGGAGAAAACCTGCAGTCATTGAGGCTATCTCGACTCATAGATCGGGGCGCACTAAGCCAGATCGGGAAGATTTCGTGGCCAAGAGATTTGGGTGGGGTTCCCCGCTTGAATTGCTGCCCAGATCCTGGACTGGGTCAACACCCATCGAATTAAGCGGTCCTTGACGTGTTAGGCAGTTCTTCACACACAATAAGTGGATAACGGAAGACGGCCTTTGACCGAGTAAAGATTGGTTGAACGCTTTTGGCTGTTATCCATGTTCCATTCGGATCGGCAGTTGAGACCCCGTCAGACTACTGAAGGATAGCACGTGGTTCTGGCCATTCGCACAGGATTGAAAAGATTGAAAGGTCTATGTTAGCGTCTATAATTTGGTTGCACTAGAACTCTAGGCTATGAACCCTCTTCTCAGCCCAACTATCCTTCCCAATCTCCATGGGTCTTGACTTATCAGCTGGATGTAGATATACATGTGGTAAAATATTGCAGTGGCAAAATTGAGACAAAAGAAATACCATAGGCCGAATGTTTGCATTATTTTCCCGCATATTGGCGTTGGTTGGTTGAACTTTCTTGCTCTGCAACATCTCTACAGCGACGTCGTAAAGGCTTACCAGGTCGCAGCTTGAACGGCTGCAGATGCAGCATAGACCTGGCCGCAGGGGCGATGGAGTAGTAGGGCAGGTTACCAAGGAGGGAGAATCTCATTGTTCCTCCTCGTCGGGCTCGTGAATCGAGAGAAACATCGCAGGCCAGACGACCAAGAACTCGGGAACGATGAAGGAGAAGAGGCACGCCGCAGCACAGACTTTCGTCCACACAGGCGCCTCGGATCTGAGAATGTCGATGCTCGTGTAGATCACCGCAGTGGAGGGATAAACCCGGTCCGGAAGTTTGTTGGCCACGATCTTGACAGGATGTGGACGAATCCGTAGCCTAGCGTGGTGCTGACCGCCAAATCGCCAGGCTAGCAGAGCTGCTATAGCGCCTTGGAGGGATCTCCTAGAATAGAGAAAGCGGATGAAATGACCCATGATGTTGATCGCATCGAGAAGGCGGATAGCAGGAGATACGCGAAGAGGGAGGGCCACGTCGGTGTCGGTTTCGTATACCAGTCCAGATTGCTGGTTCATGGAACCAAGGGCAAAAGCAACCAGCACCCAAGTAATTTGTCCGGCGGAAACGATATCGGTTGTGTTTGCGGTATGGTCCATGATTGCGGTGAGAAAATCGTGGTGCAAGGAAGGTGAGAAAAAATAAGGTATGGTGCAATGAGTGTGAGGAAGAATAAGGTGCAATGAGCGTGAAAGAAGGAATGATGTGTTGGAAGGCTGGGTGTTGACTGAATGAATAGATGTCTGAATCCATCTGGTCGTCGTTGAATGATTCCCAACTTCTTATAAGATACCAAGCTTACTGAGACATTCGATCTGCTTGTCGCAGCATCGTGAAGAGGTAGCCGACAACGTCATAAGCACTGCAAGCTCAATCTCCGATGCATCGTCCTCGGACTTCACAAAGTCCTCATGCCAAAACTTCTTTTTTTTTCATGGTCTTCTTCCCGATTGCAGGGATTGAAGTTCAATGGTCTTCCAGTTGGGTGGCATCCGCATGAGAGTGTGAGAGCAGCGCAGTTCAGCCCCAGCAGCCACAGACACTAAGGTATGTTGATGGCCTGGCGCTTTGATTTCGCAGGGCTCTTCTCCAGGCTGGGAGTGCACCACAGATACCATGGCTCCGGGCTGTCATGCACATAGTTTCCAACGCCTAGCTGAAAGACGGCTGACTCCGGACATCCCCAGTGGAGGGCAAACGCGCTGTTCCCCTTGTTGCAGTGCCACTGCAGTAATGTAAGCCATATAGGACTCCGAAACATCGCTCCTCGATGCGGTTTTCCTGATTCTCAAGCATTTTGATGCAGCATTTGATTAATTCGCCATGTCCATTGGGAAGTAGGAGTAAAGACTCATCGCGGAGAAAGTGACGATGCATGTTGCGGACTGCACAGCCTCGCAGCCCTGGCTGAAGCAGCCTCTTTGAAGCAGCCTCACTGGAGGTTACCGGACATATGTCATCTGCGGATCATCTTCCATAAAGTTTGGTGCATATGTAAGCTCTATGGCGGTAGATACCTCCAAGCATTCTCAACTTCGCAGGCCATCCACTGCTAGTCGATATATTGCAATCAATAGGATATACATCCATTCCACCAAATTCAGATACATGATAATCCAACCCTGAGATGTTTAAACTCTCAAGTGCACAGAGGAATTCAGAAAGCATGAAAATTCAATATAAATCAATTGTTTCTTCACCTTTTCTTAAAAACAAATCTCATTTCCCCTCTCCCCGCATTGTGTGCTTGGTGTACTAAGTGTCCTCACCCCGAACATCACTCATCCCGCCATCTCGTAAGAGACATTTTCCTGCCGCCCTCAAACTTTCCAGCAAACGTCGATCAAGACAAGAGCCAATGAGAAGATGAGACTTTAGATGATCAGCGCTGCGTTGTACCTTTAAGCTTGCCTCCCTCCTGCCACCGCCCGCAAAACCAAAAGTCCCAATCCATGGCTTGGGATGATGTGTCAGCAAAGTCAACCGCGCCCTTGTTACAACCTCAATGACATCAACCTCACCCGTCCGTGAAACCACAAAAAAGCCCAAGATCCCGACCCAGACATTCCTCTCTCCGATATCAATCTTTTCTGCTACCATCTCATATACAGAAGCAATCATGTCCGACTACGCTCAACCCCCACACACCCCCACCCTCGACATCTCGCCCTTCAGCCTCGCCACGCCGCCGGAAGAGCTGCAAGAACTGCGCGACCTCGTGCGCCTGTCGAAGCTCGGGCCGAGAACGTACGAGAACTCGTCTGCGGGCGGGAAGTACGGCGTCGAGTACGCGTGGATGGCTGAGGCGAAGGACCGCTGGGCGGAGGGGTTTGACTGGTGAGTATCACCCCTTTGCGACTATCGCTTCGTTTGTGAAACATCGTCTAAGAGTGTGCGTAGGACGGCTGTTGAGGGTCGTGTGAACGAGTATCCCAACTTCAAGGCCAAAGTCGTCGACGACGACGGAGCTCCGTACTCGATCCACTTTATCGGCCTCTTTTCGCAAAAGAAGGATGCGATCCCGTTGATGTGCATCCACGGCTGGCCGGGTGAGTCAGATACTCACCATTTCACAGTTCGACATCTCAGCTAAGTATATGCAGGCAGCTTCCTTGAATTCATCGGCTTCCTCTCAGCCTTGAAAACCAAGTACACCCCCGACGACCTCCCCTACCACGTCATCGTCCCGTCCCTCCCAGGCTACGCTTTCTCCGACTCCCCGCCCGTCGACAGAGACTGGGTGCTGCAGGACTCTGCACGGCTGCTGCACAAGCTCATGGTCGGGCTGGGCTTTGAGGGCGGCTACGCCGTGCAAGGCGGCGACATCGGGAGCTACACGGCGCGGATCATGGCGCGCACGTATGACTCTTGCAAGGCGCTTCATCGTGAGAGATTTCCCCTACTCAACTGTGGTTGGTGATCATCAGCTGACGATGGTCTAGTGAACTTTTGCGCCATGACGTGTCCCGAGGAGGCAGCAGACACGCCGCTCGAAAAGTATGAGCGAGAAGCCCTTGAGAGGAGCGACAAGTTTGTCAAGTTTGGCACCGCGTATGTGATGGAGCATGCTACGAGGACAGCTACGATCGGCTTCGTGCTGTCGTCGAGTCCTCTGGCGCTGCTTGCCTGGTACTCTCACCCCCTTTTACGTCGATGGATTCGTTACTGATTAGCTGGGCAGGATTGGCGAGAAGTTCCTCACGTGGACGCACGAAACCCCCTCCATGGACGAGATTCTCGCCTCCGTCACGCTTTACTGGCTCACCCAGACCTTTCCCCGCGGTGTATACCCGTATCGACAGGTCCGTCATCCCCCAACATGGTCTTGTTTTCAGTGTGGCTGACCCGTAGCAGGAAGTCATTGACGACACGCACGGTTCGATGACCGACGCGGAGTGTCGGAGGGTGATCAAGGACGGCGCGAAGCGGTACATGTTCCACCCGGACCCGGAGTATCACTGCGAGAAGCCGATGGGGTATTCGTGGTTCCCGTACGAGATTGTGCCGGTGCCGAGGGCGTGGGCGGCGACGACGGGGAATCTGGTCTGGTACCGGCCGCATGAGAAGGTGCGTTTGTGCATGCCGTGTTTATGAACCTGTGCAATGGATTGCTAATTGGGACAGGGCGGGCATTTTGCTGCGTATGAGCAGCCAGAGGCTTTGCTGGGTGATGTCGAAGACTTCTTGAAGCAGGCCTGGGTTTAAACAGCCGGGAGGCGGATGTGAGGGCGGTGGATTTCCAGGGGGAGTTTTGTACTTGATGATGGAATATGCGTAGATAGTCACGTAGACAGGTAGACACTGAGCACCATGAATTATTGACGAGTCCTTCATGCAAAGGAGACCGGCCTCTCCTTCTGGAAGGTCGAGCAACGCAAGTCTTGGCATAAAATAAACCCAGGTATTCGGGAGCATCCACATGGTTGCGGCCCGACGTGAGGTGATGCGCTAAGCTGTGGATTGAAATCACGATGCGGTCACGGACCTTTGGTTTGCGGTAACGAAATGAGGGCATGGGGCGCGTGTGCAAGATCTATCTTTGTGCACTGGACCGATGATGATCAGCGTCGCCTGCTCGTGCCGTCCAGCGATCGCCTCAGCATGAGACCGTGAGAGTGATGATCGAATGGAGAGTCTGACGTCTGTTCATGCGGGCAGAGACATTTCTCCTACTTGACGAGCGGCAGACCGACGGCGGAAAAGGGTGATCAGACTGACATTCGTAAGCGGCATGCGTTCAAGCTTATTGAACAAGCAAACAAAGATGCTTGAAAATAGTACGAAAATTCGATAGCTTGTGCAGAGACCACGCGGTGGTTGACCCGACGGCAAACATTTAATGTCGGTTAATACCAAGTTTTCCCCGGCGTGGTTGACTCGGGGGTGATGGATGGGGCGGGGAGGTCGGGCGGGTGGCTCCAGGAAGAAACCCCTGCGAGCCCACAGGACGCAGTTCACTTCCCAGTGAGCCCACCGATGGCCGTGGCAGCGATGTAACGCCGAGTGCGAAGGTTCAGGAGGTTATCCGTAACCCTGAAGTGGCGGCGGGGCTTACACGAGATTTTCCCACAGTTTTTGCTGCCGGGGAATTGAGAAAGGACGGTTGATGTTGACGGTGGGAGGCGACACAACACGGGCTTGCGTCTTCTGGCATTTGCACTGTTTTGGAGACGGGAATGGACGGGGGCCCAGATCGGTCGTGGTGTGCAGAATGCAGACTGATGCAGGACTAAAAAAGATCGTGGGGCATTCCAGGCTTGATCGACGCGGAGGATGTTTGTGTCACCCGTTGAGTCGTGGATTGTGGTAGGCTGGAGGCGAGAATAAAGCATTGCAGTTGGAGACTTGTGCCAACGGGCCGAGACGGGCTGAGCCACAAAAGAAACGACAATGGCGTTTTGAACGGGCGAAGAAGAATCAATTCTGGGGCGCGACGGTTGAAGAAAACAAAGGGGACGAAACGTTGGTGAAGAAGCGGGAAAAAAGAAAGGAACAAACTCGACAAAGAGGAACCCAACGGTGGAAGGTGCAGCTGAAGCCTCAAGAGCACGCAACAACTGTTGGATAACGCCTGCCTCCCCTCGCGGAACTCGTGGGACAATGCAGCTAACGACTCGGTCGAGCCCACTCAAAGGGGAACAGCAGCCGGAGCAAAGGGCAGGAAGCAGCAGCCGTGTCCGGGGGGCGGACGGGGCCAGCAGGAAAGAGCACATGGCCGAGCAAGGAAGCCGTCCAATGCCGTGGGCGGGATTGCACGAGACCACTCCACACAATGCGGATACTTCGCAGGTAATGTGGATATGGGTGGAGATGCATTCGACGCCACGGCCCAAAGGGGAAACGATGGGCAGGGACTGACAGGGAAGGAACGAGGCATGAACCAGTCCGTCGGGGGACCGTCCCAAGCGTGCCTTCCATCCCAGACGAACCAATGGGCGGCTGTGGCGTCCCTCCAGAAGGTGGGAAAGAGCCATGCAGAGCCATGCGCCTGCAGCTGTCGACTGATCCAGAAACCCACCCACCTGTGGATGTGGACACTCAGTGTGCTGCGCTGATTTGGCTGTTGGTGCAGCAGGTGCAGGTGAGAGTCTCCATGTCACTTTGCTCCTTCCATTCCTTCCTACCTTACGACGGGAAGGAAGTACCTCAGGTGCGGTGTTGTTGCTCTTGCTGCTTCTGCCGCTGCTGCGGGAGCGAGTCGCCAACCTTGGAAACTGCAACACACTTCCACTTCCACTGCTCCTACCCTCCGGAGTGCCTTACGTTACCGCTGGCCGAATCCTTCTTTCTCGTCTTCTTCTTCCCTCCCCCTCCTTTTCTTTGCATCTGCATCTGCACCTGTCTGCACCTGCATCAACATCGTCCACCACTCACTCCCACCCAATCTTTTCCCGCTTCCCTTGTCATTCCTTGAAACCCCAACAGCCAAGCCGCCGTCAATCGTCCAGTCCACCCCGATTCAGTCGAGTCGAGTACAGATACGGATACCTCATACACACAGACACACACAGATAGAGTCCGAGTTCCAGCCACTCGCTGCAAATACCTCACTCACCCTACCCTCGCTCAATACCACCACCAACCACCAGTCCACCACCCACCTCACGGTACCGTACCTTACCTACGGATACCGCACCAAACCAAGCCAGACCAGGTCCAGATCCAGTCCCGGTCAAGTCCAGTCCGGCCCATTCGCTCGCTCGTTCTCTCTGTCTTTTAATACATTACCACCTCGAGGCCTCGAAACCCGGTGTTTCGATCTCCTCTCGTCCCCTCCCTCTCTCTCCCACTCTCGCACTGCCCGCCTGCAACACAGACATCACCGTCTGCCACCCGCATCGTCCGTTCTCTCTCTCGACGAGTCTGAGCACCCGCCCCAATCAATTCCCGACGCGGCATCCCAACGCAAACGAACCAGGAAAAAGGGGGAGACACCCTGACCGGCTACTTCGCATCCATCAGAGACATCTGTGTCACAACCTTGCGACAGTCATTCCACGCATTCCACCCGCCGCGATAAGCTTTTCGTCCGATCAATTCGCCCTTCCTACTTTACCTCCTGCATCTGCCACCGACCACAGACTCCGTCCCTCCACCTCTGTCATCTGTTGTACTACGCTGTCCTCACCACCACGCAATTGAGTTTGGACACTCCCGCCGTCAATCGCACCTTACCACCGCACGAACCTCAGGAAGGCACATTAATCCACCACAAACACCACTGTTGCAGTCGCGACAGCACAAATAATTCAGAATGGCTCCCGGCATCATCGAACGTATCCAGCAAAAGATCGAGCTCTTCCGTCTCGAGCAGCGCTACACTCGTCGCCGCCATCGTCGATCCACCTTCATGTCCAACGCTGTCTACGTCGATGGCGAGTACGTCTACCAGACCCCCAACTCCACTGGCTCCTCCTCGTCCGGCAGCACCAGCAGCAAGGGCGTCAACGCCCTCCACCACGCAGAGCCCATCTCTCCCACCGTCGCCCCGTCACAGACCGAGCCCAGCAAGAAGCGATTGAGCCGTTTCTCCTCCATGCCCGGCTTCGGCTCAGTCTCAAGCAAGCAGAGCCCAACCCAGGACTGGCGGACAAGCAACATTACTGTCGACGAGGTCAGGCGGTAGAAGTCCATTGCCGAAAAGCTTTGGACGAATGAACAATAAAAAAGGTGGACGATACTCGGGTCAGGACGGCGACCCATGACACGGCGACATGACAACACTCGGGGCTAGTCTTCGAGGTGCGACGACACATTGCTGAAAAGGCAATCGGCACATTGCTCTTACGACTTTCCTCGGTCACGTCTCTACAGCGGCGCATTGCAACTGCATTGGGGGTGCCTGTTCTTGATCTTATTTTTTTTTTGTTTGGGAAGACCTCAGTAGACCTCAGCGGTCGATGCTGCGTCGCATAACTGCACACGGCACCCCAAATCACCAGATGTCGCGACAACGACGACACTGGATCTTGCTTGTCTGGGTACACTACACCGACTTGTAATTTTGACTGTTGCTCGGGATACCCACCGGCATACCGGCGTTTAGCACGCATTTTTCTCTTGTACATATCCAAAGGATTATATGATAACTTCCACCATACTCTTGCTTGCCTCTCTTTTTCGTGATGATTGCTGACGTTAATTGCAAGGGCGCACAGGGGATGTGCAGGAATGAGATTGAAATTGCAAACGCTGAAGCCGTTCCGTGTCTCAGACTTTTGGAGCCGTGTCGGCAATGATCGGCCTTGCGTTTGCTCAGCCACGCCGCCCACGCGACGTGCGCGGCAGGCACCTTGAATGATCTTCCCGGATGCACCAGCGACACTTGGCAGTTTGACCTAATGTTTCCCGCAGGCGTGTGACCCATATAGACCCTTGCGGGGATGAGCCGTCCCAAGCTCCCGCCAGTGCTTGGGACGATGTTGGGTTAACCTTGGTATTCTTTGACAGAGTCTTGTTCACATCAAGAACAGGGGTGCCCCGTCGAAGAGGCCGTCCCACGATGTCAGCTCACGGCCGTTTCTATGCGCTTGGCTCAGCTTCTCCACGAGACGGGCACCGTCTATCATGCTGACCGTGCCCAGCTCTTCGCCGATGGACTGCATTCCCGAGCACAGGTACCCCGCGGCTTCGTCGTCGCGACGGACGAGCGCGGCTTGGATGCCGCCGACCACCATCGGCCAAATGACGAATTTGTGTAGCAAACCGGCGCTGGTTGCGGGAGGATCCGATTTGAGGTCTTGAGTTTGCCGCCGTTGGGCTCTTTGGTCGAATAGGATGCGGATTGAGCATATCAGCGCTTCATAAGCTGCCGACTCTCTAGAGACAAGGGATGACATTAGGTCTGGAGAGGATGCGAAAGCTCTCAGAGACGTCTCGCCCAGACCCGCCAGGCTATTGATGGCATACAAAACCGTGGCGTTCAAGAAAGCAGTCATCAGAGCTTTCCACGCTGTCCTCGTGTCGTCGTCTTCACTCAACCTGCCGGGCGCCAGCCAGACGGTGGCATTGGTCGCGACTTCAGCAGCCCAGGCATCGGGCGACGCAGCGTCGAGGAACTCCAGTACTGTCAACAGGCCTTGCGTGCGTGATTCCGCCGACGGGAGAAGAAGGTTCTCTGCGCGCAGCATGTTGATCTGGTTGATGGTCCTGGCCAGCCCATTCGGCATGAGCGTCCACGGGTTGGCCATATCAACCGTGCTCTCGTCAAATATCATCGCGTACGCTGCGTACCGCGAGAGAACTACCTTAGCTGAAGCCTCCGTCAGGCAGTTCGTCGACATGCCGAATATGTCCACGACGGCGACTTGTTGCAGGACGCGGCAGAGATCCGTACTCGCCTTAGCTAATACTTCCATGCCGCCCTGGACGGCTATCAAGCTCCATGCTCCGTGGATGTGAGCCTGCCACGGCGCGTATGCCGAGTACTGGATCTGTTTGCAGGTCAGCAAGACGACAGTGAAAAAGTACTTGAGGAACAAGAACCTGTGATGAGAGCATTAACATGATGCCAAGCAAAATCTCCGGCCCCGCCCCGGCGCCGTTCTGGTCGGACTGGTGCTTCCCGAGCTCCTCGCTAAGCGCCCTGATCGCGGCTGCTTGCGACGCAAAGTGCACACTCCTGAAATCTCCCGCGGCCATGAGCTCTGAAATAACAGTCCCATCCGTCGGGCGATGGGGCTGCTGCCGACCCGGGGCTAACCCGAGCCACACCCGCCGGCTCCCCGCTGACGAACCGATGCAGCGCCGCTATCGAAATGTACGATTTGCGCACGTACTCCGCCAACTCCCCAATCTCACTCGGCGAGATCTGGTACGGACTCCGCTCCGTCGCGTACGGCACCAAGTCCGGTGCCACATGCAGATTATCTGTGCAAACCCATCAGCTCCGTCCCGGCGGGATGTGATCAAGGTAGGTAGGGAGGGTTACCCACAATACTCAATCGCATCCGCCGCAATGCGCAACTCCACCTCGGACCGCACGCTCCGCGGCGCGCGGCACACGATGCCCATCACGCTCGCGCGCCCGAGGCCTGCCTTCTCGTGCGCGCCGTTCTCGCGCACGCGCACGATGCCGTGGGACGTGAGGAGGAGCGGGTTGCGCCAGGCGATGGGCCGGGTCGGGGCGTAGCCGGGGCAGGAGACGGACGCGAGGGCGCATTTGCGGCAGGAGGGGAGGGAGGAGTTGCAGCGCAGGCGGCGTTTGCGGCAGCGCCAGCATTGGGGGCCGAGACTCATGTTGTACGGGGAGGGTCGAACGCCACAGAAGGTGTAGTGAGAGGTGTGGTGAGAGGTGTGGCTGTGCGGTTGGAATGGGGATGAAACTTGGCTGGGCAGATGAAAGGATGAGATGGAAGGGAGAGGGAGGAGAAAGAGGATTGCGGACGGGGTTGAAGGCCGAGGGGCGGAGGGAGGTGGAGGAATCCCCTCTCATAGAGCTTATCGGCAGTCGAGGTGCGGGACGGCGATGTCGGCCCCCGATGGCCCGGGCGTGGGGGGCGGGGTGCCGGTTTCCGGAAGTTTAGCGACGACGTTCGGATGACGGGTTGTAACATCGGATTAGTGCAGACTGGACAGTAGTAGTATCTGATTTTAATGTTATGAAGGCACGTTGATTGAATAGGGTTCTGAACTACTTTGTATTGCAGTCTGACGACCATCAAAAAGGATGATCCATTTCCAATAATCTGGGTGAGACTGAAATACGGTGAAAGTCCGAATGGTTTCCTCCTAGTCTTTTTGGCCATAGGCCTAGTTAACAGGGAACTAGGTCTCGCTCTCGTGCTGCTTCTTCTCCCTCTTTCTCCTACAACATATCAGTCACTGACCAGCTTGTGGTGAAAGTGAGGTTGGATATACTCGCTGATCTTCTTTGCGCCGGCGGCACCAGCCATCGCGCCTCCGATGGTGCTCAGGCCGCCGGTCGTGGCGCCGATGATGCCGGCGCGGCTGGATTTGTCTTCTTGAGTTGGTTGAGGGGATTTGTGGGAGGTGGATCGGTAGTAGAGGTGGGTGAGAGGAGTAGGAAGAAGGTGTGGTGTCAGCAAGTTGAGCGATGGGCTGCAGTGGTGTTCAACATGTGTTCTTTTTGGAAGAGGGCTCGGGGAGGATAAACGCAGTGGAAACTTCTCGCAGAGAAATGTCAGGAATAGTTGGCCTGCTTGGGCAACCAACTACAAACCCAGAATAGACGCTCAACGTTGTTCTGGGGACCTTTCTTTCCAACACTTTGAGTTTGAAAAGTGGGAAGCCCATTAATGAAAACAAACAATATCACCATTTTAAAGTACTAACAAACCCCTTTCTCTGACTGTCCTAAAGTTTCACAACAACCTTTTACATTCTGCTCCCATCTCTTACATATGGTCTACTGCTTCGTACTGATTTTAGGAGGAGCCTGAAGTACTAGCTTTCCAGTCTCTCAGGTCCGCTTCTAGTTCCTTGCAATTCCTCTTGAGCCAGTCTAAAATCTGAGACCAATTATCGTCGGCTTCGCGTACCCGCTTCCTTGTAGTCCGAATAAGACGGTCACCTGCGTGGAAAGCTTGAGAAAGCCTCTTGACATCGACATCCCGGCGAATACCAAGGGCTTTGACAGCCTCCACATTACCAGCCCGTACAGCTTCGCATAGCGGAGTATCGCCATTATCTGCCTCATCTGGCCGGATCGAGGGTGCGCTCAACACCAATTGCATGAGGTCGTATCCAGCAAACTTTGCTAGCAAGTGTAATGGCGTTACGTCTTTATGAAGCGTGTTGAAATACTCGCCAGGGAGCTTGGATATAATGAGCCGGGCTATGTCGCTGTTCCCCCCGGCGTGTATCAATGCGGTTTTGCCTTGTACATCGCCCAGTGTGAGGTTAATTCTAGGGTGAGCCAGTAAAGACTGTACGACGTCGAGATTTCCAGACTCTGCAGCCAGCATGAGAGGAGTTTCGGACTTCCGATTCCGAGCGTTGATGAATTGTACATCCTCAGAGTGGGCGGCGAGCATATAATCGACCATTTCTTTGTGTCCATTCCTGGCTGCAATATGCAGCGGCAGTTGGCGGCCGTCGCCTGGTATCCTTTGCGGCGTTTTGTTTTTGTTGTACTTCAATAACTCACGATAGCAATTAACGGAACCAACCGATGCTGCATGGTGGAAAGCGTTGAAGCCTGCCCGCGTGCGTTTGCAGACTTGATTGGGATTATGTTCAACAAGGGCTCGCACGATCCGCGGTTTGTCGCACAACACTGCAGCATGCAGTAGTGAATGCAACTCAGAATCCGCTGCTTCGACGTCGATAAGATGGTTAAGATGGAAGCAATCGACAGAATCATCGGTGGCGTTCCAAATCTCAGTGACTTTGCGAATTGGAAAGAAGACACCGCTGTCAGATGAACTTTCGTTGGCGATGACATTGCGAAACCAGTTTCGAACCACATGCTGCTTAAAATCTTCAGCCACAACAAGACTTATGGAAGCTGGGTACAAGAACAGTTTGGGCTTAAGCTGAAAAACATAATCAGGGCCGAGACCGAAGCTTGTATGCCGGGTTGTCCAATGATCGTGAAGCTGAGACACTAGATTTGCCAGAGGCTTGAAGTCGCAAAATCCGCGATCTTGGATGTCAAGTTTGAGTCTTCGAATGAGATGGCAAATTTGCATCCCGAGTGGCAACTTAGTCAGAGATTCTTCGGAGATCGCAGACTGTCTGGGGATGGTCAATTCTTCGCCGAGGGCCTCATGAGCGTTTTCGCACAGTATCTGGTCGGCCATTGGGAGATTTTCTGAGTGCTGGCGGTCGTACAGAACCTGCCTGATGCGTTTAACAAGTGGTTCTAACCACGCACTCAGCTTATCGGCACTTTCTGCGAAATAACTGATAGGCTTGCGGCCAGTCCCTGACAGAGTAAGATTCCTGAGGTATGAGCCCGTCTGAGCAAGGAATGACCGCTCATGGTTCAGCAACTGCACGAAGATGACCAGGTTGTTTCTAGGTAAACCTTGTAAGCTGGAAAGATCAAGACAAATGTGATAAAGTAAGTTCTGCTTCTTCGCAGCTACAGAGAACTTACAAGTCGGCGTAGTTCCAGTTTGCCTCACTACCCTCATCATGGAGCTCAGCAGATGCCTCGCCTGTCTCGCCTCGACCTCCTGTGGGTTGAACTTGATGGGGTGTAGTTTCCAAATCCGGTGGCAAAGGAGACATTGGCGACATTGGCGACATTGTCTTTCTCCATCGCCGCTTAACCTCTCCTGGCGAGCATTCAAAATCTTTGCTCTTGCACCGCTCGCATCTTTGCGGCCAGAGACGAGGCTGTGGACTGCACTGATGAAAGAAATTATTAGCACACCTTCAAGGACTAGGTAAGTATTTGAGCGCCCTTACCTTCACCTTATCATGGCGGCATCGTACACACTTCTTTTTGTCTAGCTTTCTTGGGGGCTTTCCCTGTTTCTGCGACTTGGCTAGTACAATCGTAGGCACGTGGTGGGATTCTGCTGATGTGTCCTGGGCGGCCCACGCCGTCTCTGGTGCTGGCCAACTAGGCTGTGTCGCCGCAGCTGAGGGAGTCCCTCCAAAAGTCCCAGTGGCATGTGGCATTTGCAATGCATGTAAGTCATAGTAATACATTGTAGAGAGCAACTCCTAGGTGGGTGAGCAGTTGACTTCCTGGCAAGGCTGGCAACATTGCACGTCGAGAATAGGTAAATGCGATGGCCAAAGTGCGACGACAATGCGCGAAACGTGCTCCTGAAGTAAGTAAGCCACTGTTCTGCCCCGGCTACTAGAGGCAGCATGCAACCCGTTCTTTTTGGATAAGTTGACGGGGACGGGTTGGAGATCGATTGGTTGTCGCACTTCGACAAAGTGAAGTGTCGTTGCCACCCTGGCTAACTCAGCTCGTGGCCTGCGGCTGCGTCTGGGTTGGGAAGAGGCGGTGTTCCATATGCATGCAACCAGACGGCATGCACCGGCTCCCATGCCGGCGTCATGGGTGGCAGATCTACATGTACTATCGCATCTTCGTCGCACTGGCAAAATGGGTCCTCATGTACTGCAAGACTGCCTGACAAGTGATGACCAACAACCAATGACAGAAGTAACAGAATATCGCACTTATCGCACTTAAATCTTAGCTCCTCACATACCATCACCCCTGTTTCTTGGTCTTACATGCTGCAATAGTTGGCCTGGTGTTAATCTCATCGCACATTCCCTCTTCGCGCCCACTTGCTTACTTGCTGCGGCAGGCTGGGCAACTTGCATCGCACTCTATCGCACTTAGCTTTGAGCAATGAAAGCCCCCTGAGTTTTGTGACCCTTGCACCGAATATCGCTCACACCGACCCGACCCCTCGTCCCGGAAGTCTGCTTTTCGATGTCGTACAAGAGGCTAGATCCCTCCAGCCAACCCGTTGATCCTCATGTTTGTCCTTGGCCCCCGCTCCTCTGACGTGTAATAACTGAGTGCGATCAAATGCGATCGATTGCGGAAGCGTGCCTCATATTCCGCTGGGCAAAATGATTGCGACATTGAAACCTGGTGGCGTGCAGCCTGACGGGACGACTCCAACTTGCCAATATGGTACCCCTGGTAGTTTTTACCGGCTCCCTACGATTGGTTTCGCACGATGGCGTGTCACCAATGGGACTGTCGGGCGTCTAGTTCTCGGCGTCCTTCTCCACCCCAGAAAAATGAAGCTGAGGCCATCGCATTTCCATCGCACTGCAGTTTGGCGATATTTCCTACGTCCCGCGGAGGCAACGGCGGCCGTAACTGCTTGAACGGGCAAGTTTACAGCAACCCGGATCAGAGAAGCAGGGTGGACCTCCGTATTCAGAACAAGAAGCATCGCCTTGCTGCTTTACCCTAATAAATGCTTCCAATTCTCACTTCTATCTCTACCCTCTGGCACTTCTTTCCCGCGAAATCTTCGCTCGCCCCTGCTTCCTCATTGTCCCCTTTCACAGATACAGCCTCTTCAATCAAATACTTGCTAGTTCCGGTGGCAGTTCACTTCGTCCACAACTGTTCGACTAAGTCTGCAACAGCGAATTGATCCCGAAAGCACGGGGGACTCCCGTATCAAGATCAAGTCGTGTTGCTTGTTTGTCACTTTTTGACCAGTACACTTGATCCTCAATTCTTAAGTCAGAGTACTTCGACTAAAATGATCATCCCCACCGCCAACTTGACCATTATACCGAATCCAATCTCGACCGCCGTGTCGCAACCCACAGGGATC